GTTCACAGTTTTAGTATTGTTCAAGTGTCAAATTGTAATAACGTATCCAGTAAAGTTCTTGTCGTTTTTGTGAATAAATTGATTTAAAGTCCCCACAAGTGTTTCAATACGTAAAGTTCGTTCGTGTGTGTTTGTGAGTATTTCCCGATTTCGGTTCGTATATATTTTATTGTTACATTTTATATTTTTTTAATAACACTGTTCTGCTGTATTAAATTTTTATTTCCTTTAATATAATTTTTATGAATGCATATTCTTTTGGCAATTATCCCACTAGCGCGCCTCTGGCTCAGTATTTATCCGTCGATAACAATGGACAAATCCCTTAAAACAGGGTGATACCTACCTGCTCTTTATGAAACGACATAATTTTGCAATGCGGACTAGGGAAGTGACAGAATTTATTGACGGATCACCCTGTAGCGCTTTTGAATACTTAATGAGATTTTATTACTCTACACTCTTTTGAAATAGACTATAATATATTTTGCGTTTTAAAATAGCACGCTTGGGTTAGGTTGACACCAGAGCCTAAAAACAAATAATTTCTGATCTGCCATAGGTTTCTTCAGTGGTACTTGGCTGAATCAGGAATCCATCTCTGAACTCAACCGACCTTAAAGTACAAGCTCAATGATTTAATCGGCCAAATTCGTGTCGCGAGCCGAAAATGTTATTACATAAAATGTAATTAACTAGTATTGGATTTTAAACTATCCCGAAAATGGAACCTGTTTATTGAATGCTTTTTTTATTTTCAGGCAACATTACTACCGTTGGTTCAATGTTTTGGAATAATATTTGATGCCGAGTTTTCTGACATGGGTGTAACAGCTGCTCAGGAATCATTTTTACTTCATCTTCACAGTTCCATGTACTGTGTTGTAGGTAACTAATGAATACAAGGTGGTCAATTAAAGAAAGAACAATAGTATGTTTCACACTTGATTCAATTTAAGAAAAAAACCCGTTCAGACATTAAATCAATTTACATGGTTTAAAACTTTGTGAGGTTAGATTCGTACATACTGGTATTCAAGTGAGACTATCGTGAGATTTTTACTGGGCAGTAAAACGTCTCAAACGTTTTCATACTAACTAAATTCTGATTTGTCCTTTATATAGTAACAATTTTAATCATATGACCTTCTACCTGATTATTGACTCATAATTTTTTTTGAGTTTGAGGGAAAACTTACTGAAAATTCATAGTAGAAAATTTTCACCAACTCATCAAATGGACATGTTTACCAATTACCAATTTCCACATTAAAAAACAGATTCAGGAAGAAAAATTCAATTCTAGTCCGTCTTTCCGTATATTTCAGAATTCTTTAAAAGTTAATAGATTAAGCGCATTCCAAAAGATTGAGTTTCGAACATTTCTCTTCCAAATGTAATACTTCATAGTTGTGGTATGCCCGAAAGATAGTTCGCAAATGTGGAATTTGTCTTCAAATTCAAGAAAATAATCATGTTCTTTCATTCTATGAGGTAAGTTTCTCCCCGTTTGACCAATATGCAGTTTTGGGCAATAACCACAAGTCAACACACATAATCCTATCCTGATTATCGTTGTATCTCAGTGCACCAAATAGTAAGAGGCATATGCAATAATGATGTTGATAATTGTTTGATATAAACAATAAAATATTCAGGAATGTTGCAAGGTTTTTCCACTCATCAGCTTGAAAAAAATTGTTCAGAAAATGAAGATGTCGATAAAAACCCCGAAGAACTATTTAAAAATGTTGTAAAATACTACTAACGTGTTTATTTTATTTTTCATTGACCATATAAATGTATACTTTTGAATTATGTATTCTCAATGATTTAAATAGAATGTAACAACGCTACTTACTAATCGCAATGATATTTATTTTTTGTTAACAAATATATATGAAATTGTATTTTTGTAATGCTTTACGATTTAAATTGAACTAAAAATAATATAGACACTTTCACTTCATTCTATTACTTCGTTTCTGGTATTTTAGTATTCTTATCATTTTCTTCATTTCATTCGAATTTATGTTTGCATCTTCTCTTATAGATTTCAAATTCATTATTACAGTTTCAAATAATGGAAATTCGAACTTTCGAATTGCAACAAAAGTTAAATTCTACTGTGTGCTTTATTTCATTGATTAGTATGTGAAACCTGATAATATCGAATTCGTTGGAGCTCGTTAATACAGATTATTGTATGATTTTCACTGTGATTAAATGAGTGGCATATGTGGAATTTATTTTTCCATTCTGGAAACTATTGTTGTGTTCCTTCATGCGGGCTATAAACGTTCTTCCAGTTTGACCTATATAAAACATGGGACATGACCCACATGATAATTTATACACTTCCGATTTTTCTGAAACTGAACTTTCATGCCAAAGTTGTTGTTGGTTTTGAAAGCAATATTTACAACTTTGTTTTTCAGAGAATTTTAAATATTCGTAGTGGGTTGGCCTGAGTAGGTTAAGGTTCTATAACTTTTAACCTCATCTCTTCGAAATGGGTAAACTTCTCTCAAAGCTTGGCTGTATAACTTTTTTGATAACAGAGAATGTATTAAACTGCTTTCGTTATCATTGTTGACGGCTATTTGTTTTATTCTGTTTAGTTATTTATTGAAATTCGTATCTGACAAGGAAACATTCATCAGTCTGTGGATGATACTGTTGAATGCTGCTACTTTGTGATGATATGGGTGGGTGGACGAATTATAAATGATAATATCTGTATGTGGCGATAAATTGAAAAATCTTGTTTATTGTTAATTTATTCCTATAGTAATTTATTCATATAGTTAATGCATTCATACCTGACCATTTCAGGTAGATTCATTCATTAGAAAGTAGGCACACAAGTAGATAAGATGTTAGAGTATAAAATAGTTGTAATTTAGAAGTAACTTATCATTAAGTAAAAATTTCACAACTTGCCCCAAGAAATGTCGCTAGTTCTCTTCTTCCATCCAATACGTGGTCACTTTGGGAAAATAGGAAGGTGGAGTAAGAAAATGATGGAAATATGGCCTTTAATCGAAAGATTTTTCTAAAATTGTACCCAAACACGAACCAATGAAAAACAATAATAATGTGTGTGATAGGCTTCATCTAGTAATGAATATTTCACCGTTTCTCTGAATTCGTTGTTTGAAATTATGCAAATATATAATAGCACCTGATTTTTTTGCATTATATATAATAGATTTTGTTTTGTTTAAGTATTTTTATTCAATCTTGTGTTATAATTAGATGTGGAAACAATCATGAAACCACAAACTATTCACCATACTACAATAAAGGTTCATTTACGAATGAAATATCATAGCTTATTCATTTCAGGTTTTTTCAGCAGCCCATTACTGAAAATGTACAATTTCAGCTACGTGGCTTTATTCGGTGCCTCACTATGGTGCTTTGGTATTTTCCTCAGCAGCTTTGCCAAGTCTTATGCCACTTTATTATTCACAGTATCGATTTTGATTGGTAAAGTATGACAAATATTTCGGTATGAGATAGAACCCCCTTTGAGTATTCAATTTTTTTCCAGGTGTGGGCCAAGGAATCGCTCTACCAGCCACATATCTTGCCCAATACTCATATTTCAAAAAAAGGCTGACTTTAGCTGTAAGCATATCCACCACTGGTGCCAGTATATTGGCAATTTTCATGCCAAAAATTTGTGATATTCTACTGTTACACCAGGGAAGAAGAAATGCCGTTCTAGTTTTATTTGCCATATCGTTACTTTCATTGGTAGGTTGCGTTTTGATGAAGCCGTCTACACCAGAAAAACGTCGCCGTCACTTCACACATGAACAAAAGAACACAGAAGTGGCCTTGATAATAAGTCCAGAAAAGACGGTAAGATTTTGCATTGATTCAATAGTATTCGTTGCACACAGTCTTTTTAATTTATCCAGGCAGCAGCTAATGATAAACTAATAACCTCCAATGTTTATCAAGAAACAACGATACCGAACGAGAAGAAAAAGAGTATATTGACCAAACTGTATGATGTGTTCGATTTTGAATTACTTAAGCAGTTGCCGTACGTTGTGATAGTTATTGGTTTGGGGGTTTCGTTCGCAGCCGAGTTGAATGGAATTTTGACTATGCAGTTTATGTTACCGGAGTTGTCAAATTTCACCAGAACGGATGTGGCAAATGTCGCGTCGATCCAGTCTATTTTTGATATATCTGCAAGACTGTTGGTACCGCTCTTGACGTATCGTTTAGAAGTTCCTCCGAGACTAGTATACGTCATGGCTCTGATTCTAGCAACAGTCGCTAGGTTAGGTAAGTAAGAGCCTTATTTTAGGCTTGACAGCTTACTTGTTAATGGACTATAATATAATTCATTTATTGATCATTGAACTGATTGGTTTTATCTAGCTTGTTTTATTTGTTTGCTGTGTGAGTCAATTCTGATAAAAAGGTGAACCTCAAAGTGGTCGACCAGTGTAGTGATTCCAATAGCGATGGTGAACAATGCGAAAAAGAGATACCAGTGAATAAGATTCAGATGCATTTGTATATTGAAACACAGAGGGTATGTTTCAATGTACATAAAAATCTACATCTCTAGTTTGGTTTCGAGGGAAACAAACTATTACGAGCAACATGAGATTTGACCTGAATTCCTTTCATAACTATACGTAAAATAGTCAAAAACAAACCTTATGAACGCAAGACGCGATGTGATACAGGATTACCAAAACCTTTAGATGTTAATCTACTAAAATCATTGAAAAAAACAATATACGACTGTTACAAAAGCAATGAGATTCCTACAACTGAAATCATAAGGAAGAAATTGAATACTTCCGGCCATAACGTGAGCTGCTGTGACAAAACTCTTCAGAATTGGATAAAGAAACTAGGATTTAGATTTAAAATAATAAATCCACGTCAAACAGTTATGAAAAGCAGAAGAATAGTGGAATTGCGTAACAAATACTCAGGACAAATAAATAAATATAGACAAGAACAACGGCAAATTTTCTATTTGGACGAAACTTGGTATGACACACGACACAGTAACGAAAGGGTGGACTTATGGTTCGAGAATGTGTACGCCTAACATGCCTACAAACAAAGGATCGCTATTAATCATTGTGCATTGCCGAGGAAGTAAATAATGGGTTCCGAATTATGTAAAAAAAAACTTGAGGACAGCAATGTTGACTATCATAAGAACACGGAAGCCAATATTTTCGAGGAATGGTTTGAAAACACATTGATCCCATTTGGATGCGAATAGTGTAATACTTCTTGACAATGCTTCCTATCATTCGCGACAGCTCATCAAAGTACCGAATCAAAATTCGAGGAAAGATGAAATACATAGTTTTTTAATGAATAACAATTTGTATTTTGAAGATAACTATACCAAAAACCAGCTACTTGAAGTTTTACAGACAAAAACATTTGAAAAAGTGTATGGCCTTGAGAGTTTTGCTGAAAAGCATGGACACACGATACTGAGACTTTCCCCCTATTTTTGTATTTTCAGTCCCATCGAGTTGATTTGGGGAAAATTGAAACAAAGCATCAGGCGTAGAAATAATTTTCCAAAATTTGATAAGAAGGTAATAGAGCTAATTAAAGAAGAAGTATCTGATATTACCGAAGAAGACTGGCAGAAAAGGATTAAAAAAGTAATTTTAGTTGAAAAAGACTATATAGAGATTGGACACTTCCATATTAATGGTGGAAATAAATTCATTATTGGTTTAAATGACGACAGTGATAGTGAAACGGAGAACATGGAGGAGACATTATTAGAAGCTTTCGAAGAAAAAAGTGAAGTGTTTTTGAAGCGATCAATTGTATATACAGTGTGTCTCACTTCTCATGGAAACATCCCCGTATCTTCCGTAATATTCGAGGTAGAACGATGAAACTCTCTGGACTGATGAAATGCTTAAAATGCGCCTACCACCTGAATGGGGTTGGCCAAAGTGATATACACTGTCCGCCACTCGCGATGGAACACTCCATTTTTACAGTAAAACATATTAGGGGGCAAAATAGGCTCAAAATTCCTTCAGATTCGCGATCAGGACTACCAACTTACTATGATTACATTTTTTCCTAAAAAAATTTCAGTCCTGAAAAATCCGAATTTGTCTCACTTCTTATGGAAACACCCCCGTATCTTCCGTAATATTCGAGGTGGAATGATGAAACCCTCAGGACTGATGGAAATGCTCAAAATGCACCTACCACCTGAATGGGGTTGGCCAAAGTGATATACACTGTCCGCCACTCGCGATGGAACACCCCATTTTTACAGTAAAACTTATTAGGGGGCAAAATAGGCTCAAAATTCCTTCAGATTCGTGATCAAGACTACCAACTTACTACGATTACACTTTTTTCCCAAAAAAATTTCTGTCCTGAAAAATCCATATTTGTCTCATTTCTTATGGAAACACCCCCGTATCTTCCGTAATATTTGAGGTGGAACGATGAAACTGTCATTCAGGTGGTAGGTGCATTTTGAGCATTTCCATCAGTCCTGAAAGTTTCATCGTTCCACCTCGAATATTACGGAAGATACGGGGGTGTTTCCATGAGAAGTGAGACAAACTCGGATTTTTCAGGACTGAATTTTTTTTAGAAAAAAATGTAATCATAGTAAGTTGGTAGTCCTGATCGCGAATCTGAAGGAATTTTGAGCCTATTTTGCCCCCTAATAAGTTTTACTGTAAAAATGGGGTGTTCCATCGCGAGTGGCGGACAGTGTATATCACTTTGGCCAATTCCATTCAGGTGGTAGGTGCATGTTGAGCATTTCCATCAGTCCTAAGAGTTTCATCGTTCTACCTGGAATATTACGGAAGATACGGGGGTGTTTCCATGAGAAGTGAGACACACTGTATATGTGAGTAAGTAGTATTCAGAAATGTTTTCAATTATCACCCTGTTACCATCTTTCAAGCTCTTCGATAACTTCCTCGTCGGCAGATCAGGCAAACAACGGCCTTCGTCGACTTCATCGAATCCCTAACACGAAATTTTTATGCTGACGGAATCAATCAACTTGTGTTACGTTGGCAAAAGTGCACTGAATCAAATGGCGCTTATTTCGATTGGATTGAATAAGTATTCACTAAGATATTAGAAACCGACAAAACTATTAAAACAATTAATATTTAATTGGTATGTATTTTTTTCCAGTGATCGCGTTCTTCAGCAAATCATACGTAGCGATTTATTTTGGCTGTTCGCTAATTGGTTTGACGAAAGGCACCAGAGCAGTGTTTCAGTCTGTCATCATTCCGCAGGTTGTACCTATAGAAAAAATACCTGCTGCCAATGGAATTAACTTTCTGTTCAACGGGGCTGTCTCCCTAGCTGTAGGACCAATCATAGGTTAGTAAAAGATGGTCAGTTGAGCGGAGCGTAACTCCCAATAACGAATCAAATGACATTTTTTTCATGACAAGTTGGCACAGTTGAAACTGTTTACTCCAATCAAAACCATATTTATTTAGAATCATCTATAATTAATTTTATAACAGCAGTTTTTATTCACTTAAATGTGGTTAACCATTAGAAAACATCTATTTCGAAACAAAATTCAAATCCTTCACTTATCTTGTAGATCCAACACACTAAAGGTTCCTGGGGGCTCCTTCTGGAAGCCGATTTGATGTTTCCTCGTTTCCTTTAATCTTATTGTATATGCATACGCTGGTGGAACTGCCAGAATCCCATAAATTATAATTGTTGGTGGCATTTTAATTCAATTGTTTGTTCGTTAGGTGAGGGTCCAATCCATTGGTTTGACACTTTTAAGCGTTTCAATATATGTTGATTGATTTATAATCGCATCTTTTAGCATCTGGCATGGTCTTCAATGTTCATTAGTTGGATTTCGTAGGAATTTTTGGCTCCAATTTCCAATAGTTCGTCCGGGTCACAGATGTAAAATAGTGGAATTAGTTTCATATAAATGCCGCCAATAAATGAGTAGCACAATTCGTTCTTCAAAAGTTATTGCCTTAAAATGGAGAGATGAATATTTGAAATTTTATTGCAAAATATCAGAATCCTTTTGGTTTTTTTTGTGGCTGACAGTGTTTCTCGGTGAATGTTGAAGGTTGATAGCAATTATAGTGCTCTTATATTATTGCCGATGAGACACATTTTCTGATGAAAATTGATGGAATTTCTGGAAAAGAGCTTCATAAAACGTTCTCACGCAATTATACGTTTCGTCATTTTGTGTTTTGTTAGCACTCTTACTCCAGATATTCCATTCCCGCCAAAAGTTATTTTCTCTCTCTACTCTATCAAAGTACATACTTTTTTTGCGGGAAAACTCAATCTGCACGTCAACAAATCACAACTAATGTTCTAGTACTTTCGAAAGTATGGAAAAGCGTATATGGATCACATACAGTGTGCGCCATTGAAGACGAAACAGATCAAAAGCAAAAACAGATCGATTTATAATTCAAGGGAAACACCTTTACATCATAACCTCGACCGTCATATCTCCTCCTCTTTTGAATGAGGACAGTATACAGTGTGTAAAAACAAAAACTTAACAGAGCCGTTTTAGAATATAAAAAGTGAGATTTTTAAAAAAAGCTCGCACACGTCGATTTCTAATTAAAGGAGGACACCGAAGACCCTTATTTAGATAGGGAAAGTGGGTCGAGTGGCACCTTGTTTTAAAGGTCTTTCGAATACCTTTACATCTCTGTTAAAAGAAAATTTTTGTAACGATTGGTTTTCGAAATAATTTGAAGTTAAAATTGCCATGTTAATAATACATTAGACACATCACTCGGTAACTTGTATGCATGAATAAAACATTTTTCGAGCAGTTCTTCTTATCAGTTTTTTGTTAAATAAAATCCCTTTTTTAAAATCAATACCCACTCCTCTTCTTCCAGTTTTCATTAGTACATCGTTCGATTGTTTTGTTTAAACGGGTCGTGTATTGTTATTTGTTTAAAAATGCCTTACACTACTGCTGAAAGGGTTTCAGTTATTGCTTTATTTTTTGGCAACGACCAAAATGCTAATAGAACATCAATTTTATTTAACGAGCAAAACCCTGGTAAACACCTAAGCAGAAATCACCTTCTGGAAAGAAAAGAAATGTTCAGAGAAGGGTAGTGAATGACGATAATAGGATTGGAGTGATTGGTCAAGTCATCGCCAATCCCAGGTTAAGTACCAGAGGTTTATCAGCAATGGCCGGAATAAGCCATATGAGCGCATGGAGAATCCTTAAAAACCACAAATTCCATCCTTACAAAATTAAACTTGTTCATGAACTCAATGAGGATGATTTTGGCCGAAGACAGAAGTTTTGTGAGGGCATGAGAGATTAATGCAAAATCCCGAGCTGCTTTATAACATCTGTTTTTCGGACGAAAGCTCATTTTAAATGGTTGCGAGAACCGTCACAATTGCCGTTATTGGTCGGATGAAAATCCAAGACAATACGCAGAAATACATACCCAACATCCCCAAAAGTTGAATGTCTGGGCCGGAATATTAGGCAATCATGTTATATAGGTTCATTTTTCATTGATGGAAATTTAACCGGTGATTCTTATTTACAACTTCTTGAAGAGGCAATACAACCTCGTATAGTTGAAATAATTGAACAGGATCCAAGATGTCAAGATGAATTTATCCATCACGATCACCAGATTTAACACCACTGGACTTCTTTGTGTGGGGATATTCAAAGTCTAAAGTTTATGCTACACAGCCAGCCAATTTGGATGAATTACGTCGTAGAATTATTGATGAATGCCGAGCTATAACTCCTGAGATGTTGAATAATGTAAGAGCAAAATTCGAGCAAAATCTTTATTGTTGCATGGAGCAAAATGGCGCACATTTTGAACATTTACTCTAAATTTCCTATGTGAGTTACCCTTATTAGGTATTACTTTTTTGTGTGTGCTTTAAAAACAATTATTGGGATTTATTAACCCTAAAACAGTTCTTTAAACTTTTCTGTGTCATCAGCATTCAAGGAAAGCAGCAGGTTGTATTTGTTGTGTAGGTACGTTTTTAGTATGATTCACTTTTTTATCAGAAGCATAAAATATCCACGTCAAAAGGCAACCTTCATAAGGAGGTGCCACTCAATTTACCTAAAATGTAAGGGTGGTAACCAACCCCATCCCCCGAAAACAATTTGATTTATTTCAAAAAGAGTTGAACTCAATAAAAGTACCTTTAAATCTTCAAATATCTCGAAAACTAATCGTTACAAAAATTTTCTTCTAACAGAGATGTAAAGGTATTCGAAAGACATTTGAAACAAGGTGCCACTCGACCTACATTCCCTATCTAAATAAGGGTCGTCGGACGCACCCCTCCGAGGGGGTGCGTACTACAAAAAATCTGATTAGTCTGAAAGCTGTCCCCCTTTAATTAGAAATCGACGTGTCCGAGCTTTTTTTAAAAATCTTACTTTTTATATTCGAAAACGGCTCTGTTAAGTTTTCGTTGTTACACACTGTATACTAAATGTGACACATCAACAAAAATAGTTTTATGAGGAATACATTTATGGGACTGTTTGGTATTTAACTTTCAATTTTGACGGCTTTTTGTGGGAAAGCAATGTCTTCAATACATCAATCAACTCAAGAATGTCGGACAACGGTTCGAGACTAACCATTTTTGAATTTTTGTAATATTTTCATGCCTTGTTCACATTATTTTTCAAATGAAGTATCGTTTGGAATTTAACACGGAACAGTTGCCAATATTCTGATGCCGCTTAAAATATCTTCCGCGTCGGTAATGACATATATTTCAGTTTTTTTTTCAGGAACTATTCACGACGTTACCCATTCATATATTCCTGCTCTTCACGCAGCCTCAGAAATATCTCTAGTGTGTGTTGTTTTATGGGCATTGGAATTCATTTATTCGAGAAGAAAGAGTCGTCGAAGTTGATTTTTGTATTCATTATATATTTTCCCATCGTGTTTTTTAAATAAAAAATTATTGAACACTTGTATTTCACTTAAATTCCACTTAACAGAATAAAATAATGCTGTGTCTCAGAATACTTTTTAAAACAGTGGCGAATCTAGGGGGCACAGCCATGCTAAAATGTGCTGGGGCACCATCGTGCATAAACCACATTGCATTTCTTGTAACCAATGGTACATCTTCCAGAAACTGAGGTAGCGGAGTTGTTAGAAGCTTCATTACTTGGTAGGTCCAGTGTAGTATTTTTGTTCTGGCTACGTTAATAATTTTAAAATTACCAAAATTGTTATTGTCTAATTTTTTTTCGCCCCGTATCTTCGAAACAAAGCGCCCTATCAAAAATAATCGAAGGACAAAATATTCTAAGAATAGTCCAAGGAAGAGTCCCTTTTTTTGAGCCTTGGGAGCAGTCTGACTTGTCCATTTAGTCCAAGTCTCCAGAAAATACTGCAGCCTCTTGGGCTTCTTGCTTTTATTCTCCCATCTTCTCATGACACCCATTCCATCAGTCTCGTTCCCTGTACTAGTTTGTACAGGTTCCGTGTTGGATGTTCGTCATATTCTTCTGGGCGTAATTTTGTACGTCCATATATTGCCTGCCTCCTGTGATTCAGTGCCTCACTTTCGCATAAGATGTGTAGAGCTGTTTCTATCCCTTCGTTGCATAATCTGCAGCTGAGGTCTCCGTTGTACAGCCCCATTTTATTCAGGTGTCTTCTAAGCGGACGGTTAGTAACCCTGTAGTTATTCTGAGCCGATCCCTACTATATTGAAGTAGTTCTTCGGTTCTTTTCTCGGACGGTTCCCTAATGAAGGTTCTACTATGTTTGTTGCCAGGTACTTTTGTCCAGTACTCTGTGTGCTTTTTATTGGTCCATGTCCTAATCTGGTTTCGTATCAATGATTTTGGTACCCCTAGAGCTGGTTCAGGACCTATACATGAAGTTGATAATTCGCGTCTAGCGCGTTCATCAGCTTCATCATTACCTGTGATTGCTGAATGCCTTGGCACCCAGTACAAAGTTAATTTGTTCCTGTTTGCAAGTTCAATCAGGTCTTCATGGCATTCCCAGACCAGTTTTGATGTCACTTTCGAGGTCTCAGTTTAATAAGCCTTGCACACTGCAAGATAGCATACACTTCCGACTGAAAAAAGGAAAACTAATAAATTATTCGAAAGAAAGGGGCAAACGAGAGTTCAATCGCAAGTTATTCGAATAGTGTGGTATTCGAGGTACTTTTGGGAGTTTGGGGAAAAACTCGGTTTTCCTTTCTTTTCCTTTTTGATTGCCAGTTCAACTGAGTGAAATTTGGTTTTGGTGTCTTATGTTAAATTCAGTAAAACATAAAAGGATTAGCCGCTATCTACAGCTAAACGGAGGAAGAGAGCTAGTGGTAAGAAAATTTTAGGGTTTTTTTTGTCTGGTGGCTAACCATATACTTTTATTGAAATACTGTGGGTGAACATTTATTTAAATAGTTTGTATCATGTATAGTTGCCGAATAAAAGGCACGTTTANACTTTTCGTACTCACTCGGAGTAACATTCTATGTTTTTCGTTTGAAAACCTGCACAATTAGGCCGGCTTCTTTTGAAGAGTTTTGGTCAATTATATTTACAATTACATAATTCACATTATGATGCAACCTCTTTTAATGTTTTACTGGAACTTGTTTTGTTGTCTTCATTCTCAGGAGAGTCCCAAGGTTGGATGTCTGTTGAGCTGAAAATAATGAAGATACATCCCGCAACAATATAGAAACCAGCCGACACGCTGAATATTATATTCCAGAGTTGTTTATCCGTCTGAAATGAAAAAAAATCAGGGTTATCTTTTGCTCATCTTTAGTTTGTGCCTGAAGCAATAAGCCTTGAAATTGTGTCAAAAATATTCTCCGTGCTCTGAGGGTTTTTATTCCTGGTATTTCTTCTACACCTGCGGTATAGACATTAGTATATAAGTAACAACCTCAATCCGAATATGATTTTGCATGAAATTATGTTGACAAGATAGATGTGACTAACGACGCTCGTCCTGGAGGCCTCAGCACATCAACAACCGCTGTTGAAAAAGTAAATGTTGAGAAAGTAAAGGAAATTGTTATTGAGAATCGTCGAATCACTGTTAGAGAAGTTGCTGCCAAAAGGTGTCTCAAAGTCTTTTGGAATATAGAACCGTTCAAATTGATCATAAAAGTGTACGTGGTAATTCTTTCATGTTTTATCCATAGTGCAACTGCAATCTATACGTTTTTGCTAAAAGCATCTGATGATATGGAATGTTCAAAAAATTACAAGAATTTTGTTTTGACTTCATTAGTTTTGTCGCTTTCAAAACAGTTCCCTTTACATATTATGTATGCACTTATGTTAGTGCTTCTTTCAATCCTACTCGATCGAAACAGGAAAAAGTCACACGGGTGTATGTCTGGCGAATATGGAGGCTGGAGCATCATTACAGTATTGTCTTTGGAAAAACAAATTCACGAACAAGCAATGAAGTGAGCAGGTGCAAAGTCGTGGTGTAAAAGCCATTGATTGATTTTCCACAAGCTCGGGCGATTTTTCCGTATTGCCTATCAAATCAAATCAAATTTATTCATCATTTTTGATACAAGAATGTAGGTATATATGACACGTCACATTTTACAAAAGATATTTTATCTAATATAACTTACATCAATAACAACACATGTTACACAAAATTATTATTTTCATACTTTTTCAGGGAATAAAAACAACTTGTTACCAAAAAGTCTGACTTTTTTGTTGAATTTGAAAAAAATTGTTTCACTTCTGATGCTGTGTGGTAATAAGTTGAAATATTTTGCCCCGGCATAAAGTGGCGAACCTTTGTACTCATCACGGTTTATCTTTACCTGATGGAAGTTGTTTCTCCGTCTCGTTTGATGAGAGTAAATTTCCTCATGTCTTGTTAGCAAATGGAAATGTAGCTTAATATTTCGTAAAGATAAATACATGGTAATGTGAAATTTTTTTTGTCTATAAATGTCTTCTTAAAAGATTCTCTGTATTTGAGATCAAAAAGTAGTCTAATGAAACGTTTTTGCATTATAAATATTCTATTTATTTCTGATGAGTGTCCCCAAATGGTAATATTTATATTAAGTTTATAATACACTAGACCATAGTATATATCCAAGAGATTTGTCTCAAAAAATTTGATTTCATTGTTAACAAGGCAAAATATGTTTTTTTCAGAGAAGTGCACAAGCATTCGATGTGATTATTGAAAGACAATTTATTGACAAGTTGTGTTCCAAGGAATTTTGTATATTCTGTTGTTTCGAAACCTAAATTTATTTGGAGAGAACGCTGATACTTACTTGAAAACTGGATAAATTTTGTTTCATCTTTATTATTTATTAAATGATTGTGTCTACACCAACATTCCAATTAATTGATTACTAGTTTCCTTTTATTTTCAATTTCATTTAGATCTGGGGACGTCACAACGATTATTGTGTCATCGGCATACATGAAAACTCGACCCTCTTTCATGTTTTCGGGTAGTTCATTAACATAAAGTAAAAATAATAGTGGTCCAAGCACCCCTCCCTGTGGGGTCCCCAGATTCATATCAAATTGATCTGAATACTTTCTTTCACCATCAACGCTGGTGTTCCTCAGGGATCCATATTGTCTCCAACCAAGACTGCAATACAGGGTGTAACTGAATAAGTGTAAAAGATTCAAGGAGGTGATTCCTCATCGAAAAAAAGATTGGATCTTTCATATAAAGAAATTTCATTGGAGCATCCCTTGTTAAGATACAGCCCCTTAAAGGGGGTACATAAAATTTGTATAACAATTTTTCTCACAAGCACTAAAAAAGTTACAATATTGAAATTAACCTGACGGTTTGTAATACCAAAAAGAAGCTTAGCCAGAAATTTATTCAGTTTACCCCATGGTTGTAAGGGGTGGAAAACGCAACCCCTAAAATTTATTTCCAATGTAACTTTTTGTCTTATCATTTGTTAACCATTCTTAAATTCATTTCTGATAGCCTGTTTTATTCTAAACAAAAAATGTTTCTTGGGTTTTTTGACCAAAATAAACCAGGTCGCAGCAAAAAATTATTTTAGGAACAACTACAGAGATACATCGTCATAAATGCGAAAATACGAAACTAATCTATCTAGTAGGTCGCTATTAGCGATAGTGACAATTAAATTGGTATGACGCTGTCAGTTTGTGAATTTTCGAAATTGAATTAATACTAATTGTAATTAATACCGCTCGATCCCCGGATCTCAATCCTCTCGATTTCCATATTTGGGGTCATTTTACGGTCTGTCGCAGGGGAATGGATTAGAAGCTTCTAGAAGATATGCTGAAATGTATCCTCAACGGCAGCATCCTTCACATAAAATATTTGCTCGACTTCATCAACGATTACGAGAATATGGTTCATTCGACAAAAGAACGCAGGATTGTGGTCGCCATCGAGAAGTACGAACACCACAGCTTGAGGAAGCAGTACTTAATTTGATTGAAGAACAACCTACTACCAGTACTAGAAAGATTGCTTTCCAGCTAAATGTTGATCATATGACGGTATTTCGAATTTTAAAGGAACAACTCCTATACCCTTACCATCTGCAACGAGTACAGGCACTGTTACCGCGAGACTTTCCGAACCGTCTTGAATTTTGCAATTGGATGCTGGAAATGATTAAAAGAAATTGTGACTTTCTGAAGACAATAGAATTCACAGACGAATATAGTTTTTCTCGGGACAAGATTATTAATTTTCATATTAACCACATTTAGGCTGATGAAAACCCTCACGCTATTGTCGAAACTAACCATCAAGAACAGTTTTCTCTTAACGTGTGGCTCGGAGTTATTGGGGATGATTTAATTGGGCCTCATTTTCTACCTCCTCGATTAAATGGTGAGGCATACGTTCAATTTTTAAGAGAAGTGCATCCAGTACTGCTGGAGGATGTTACTTTGGGCGTCAGAAGGGATATGTTGTTTATGCATGACGGGGCCCATTTTAGTCAAGTAGCACGTCAGTATTTAACTGAAACATATGCAAATCAGTGGATAGGTCGAGGAGGACCACAGAACTGGCCCGCTCGATCTCGATTTCTCTATTTGGGGCCATTTACAGCATTTGGTTTATCGTACTCCTGTTCGCGATGTAGAGGACTTAAGAAACCGCATCATCGATGCGTGCAGGGTAATCAGAGAGACTCCAGGAATATTTGAGCGAATACGTGGCTCAATGCGCCGACGTCTAGGCATGCGTAATGTCTGAAGGTAGACATATTGAACACTTACTATGATTTCTACATGTTGTGTGTTTTGTTATTAATAAATTAGTTTTGTTTATTACCCTTTAATCGTTTATTGCAGGTACTAACTACAAAATAACAATGAATCCAGTTCGCATTTATGACGATGTATTTCTGTAGCTGTTCGTAAAATAATTTTTTGCTGCGAACTGATTCATTATGGGCAAAAAACTCAAGAGACTTTTTCTGTTCAGAATGAAACAGGCTATCGGAAATAAATTTTTAAATAGTAAACAAATGATACGACAAAAAGTTACATTGGAAATGAATTATAGGGGTTGCGTTTTCCACCCCTTACAACCATGGGGTAAACCAAATAAATTACTGGCTAAGAGTCTTTTTGGTAGTACAAAACGTCAGGTTAATTTCAATATTGTAACTTTTTCAGTGCTTGTAAAAAAATGTTATACAAATTTTATGTACCCCTTTTAAGGGGCTGTATCTTAACAAGGGATGCTCCAATGAAGTTTGTTGTTTGTTGCTTTCGCACAGGTGCCGCTCTTAGAGCACCTTAAGGTTTTTTCTGTAGTGCTTGTGTTTTGTCATTGAAAAAAAATCAGTGACTTCTTTGATAGTGGTTCGACGATCGTTCATAATCATGCATTCATTTCAATTTTTTTACGTATTCATCGGTTGTTGAGGTGCTGTTGTGTTCGTCTTTACCGCCTTCTTGGAGGTGAGCTCTTAAAAACACGTCTCACCTTTGCTTAGCGGCTGTCACAGACAAAGTAAACAATAATTACGGCTGAAAATTTGATTATACTTCAGGGGCATGTACACCAAGATAATAAAAAATGTCAATTCGACTCTCCCGTGAAATGATTTGAAATATCCCGTAAATTTATGAACATACGTTTCGAGTGATATCTTACCTCTTCATATCCAGATATGGCTTTGAAGGCATCTACCGCCAATGGTGCCATGATGGTGAAAATGGCGGAAATGCTGTTTGATATGCCCATCAGTGTTCCAGAGAATGTCGGAGATATGTCCATGTGATTGATATTGAATCCACAATAGTGACCGGCATTGAATCCAACAGTTATGACCAAGATGATTATGATAACCTCCTTATTTGTACTTTCGATGAAGCTCAGAGATATCAGGGCTAAGGCGGGTATAAATAGTCCTGCAAGTAAACACCAGTTCATTAATTTTTCCAGTTTATCAGATAATACAATTTCAACAGTGTGGTGATACAAAAGCTGATCATCGTTGATTTCTTTGCACACTCTCATGAGTGATGTTGAGTCACAGTTGGCATAACTGGATGCAGCTCAGGATTGTCCTCCAAGGAGAGCTCGTCTAAGAGCAAGATTGTTAACTAAACTGTATCTATCCAACAAACAAAGTAGGTAACTCAAATAACAAACAAAGCATGGTCACCACGCACATTAGCATCTATTGGGTGAAATATACAAGCCTCCTGACGCTGGCCAATCAGATTTAACTGCAATCGGCTGGCGGAATTCATTGTTACGGTGTCGGAGTTGCACAGTGACGTTTGTGGTGTGTAAATTTACGGTATTTTAAAGTTTAAAATTTTCAAAATGTTAATGTGATAGGTACGGCTGGAGAAACTGTTGATTTGTGTTCCAACCAAAATATTTTCCTATACCCAGCCGCATATTAATAAAAAAAAATAATAAAGTTTCGGTAGTTCCTTATTGCGACTCTGTACAAGCAGGCTTGTCTAGAAGATCACGTATACTATGTTTGGAGCACTCTGTTGCTTAGACGGACGGAGTATAGCAACAGCTCCATCTCGTGAACGAAGCCCAAAGCGGAGAAGAAACATTCCATGTACCAATACTCTAACAGAGATCAAAATAAGTTTGGAGACTGTTTCAAGCAGAGATACAATACCGGTTTCGAAGTATTGTTTCTCGTCAGTGTAGTACAGTGCCACAAATATGATAAACGTTCGTAAATGTTTCAAAGTTTTTTTGGGGGACCCTTGAAGCAAGTACTGCTATGGACTGTGATCATTATGTTATAATTCTTTATGAGAGTATAATTTATAGGAGATATGAGGGTAATTTATGAAGGGAAACGCTTTCCTTTTTCAGTTTGACTGAAAACTATTTCTGCCTCTCTACGAGGGTGGTTTGAGAAGTTTCCGACCTAACAACGATACAAGACATTTTTTCAGATTTTTGTATTCCTCAACGTAGTCTCCTTTTAACCCTACAAACTTCTCCCAGTGATGTTCCCATCTTTATAACTCGTCCAAATAGCACTCAGCGTTTTCCTCTGCAAAATAATTGTTCACGAAGGTGATTGTCTCTTCATTTGACGAAAATCTCTATCTTCTGAGCGCAATGTTTAGATAAGGGAACAAAAAGAAGTCACTTGGGGCTAGATCTGGTGAGTAAGGCGGAACGACAAGCAGTTCAAACCGTAATTCGTGGATTTTTGCCATGGCAAACGCTGAGGTATGGAACAGGATTTTCTTATTGTGCAAATGTGGCCGTTTTTCTGCAAGTTATGCTATCAGCTTGTCAAGTTATAATGCGTAGTATGCTGCTGTGATTGTTTTTCCTTTTTGAAGATAATCAACTGAAATAACTCCATGACTATCTCAAAGAACAGTCGCCATCACTTTCCCAGCCGAAAAAACAGTTTTTGCTTTTCTGGAGTCGGTTCCCCATTTGCAGTCCACTTTTTGGAGTGTATTTTTTTCGGATGTATCCAAGATTCATCTACAGTGACATGTTCATAACCTCTGCTATCTCTCCCACTTTATGTTGGCGATGGCAAGGCCATCTAGTGAAAGATGTTAATAATATTTCTGAATATTGAACTTACCAATGGAATTGAAAATTTTTCTGCTGACAGAAACGCTGGTCAGTCCTTTAGCAATTATGTAATCCGCTATGGGGCTGAACATGAGATTCATCAACCACATGACGAAATAAGGAAGTGCTGATAAATAGCTATTCTGAAATTAAGTGCGATATGAACTCTGGATGTTATTGTCAAATGAGACTTCTTACCGAGTCAATTTTGTAATTCAATATTTCCTTCATGAAACTTGGTATTTTGGAAAGTAAGGTCCAAAATCCCCAATTTTGACCACAATGGGTGATTACTATAGCCATGAAAGGAACAGATGTGAAAATGGATTTCCAAGGAGTAGGTGGTTTCTGTAAATAGGAAAAATGTTATCACAACTACAAATTTGATAAATACCAAGTTATCCTCTATCACATATGGAGTTGCCAAGTATTTTAGAGGTTGAGGACCGAGAAATCCTAATAAAGGCGTATACTTGCCACACAATCCAGATGTTTTAGTATGACATCTTTGATCTATGACGTGGAACCGTCATTTATTTGTTATTATCACGTGATATTTCATGCCAATGTGACATGATACTGACAAAAATATCACATCAAAATGACGAGATCATACAGTGTGACCCATTTTTAATGAAAACACCTCCCTAAAATTTGAAGTTGAGAATCGATTTTAATAATTTTTTTTTAAATGTCAAGTACTAAAAGTTCTACCTTGGGACAAAATTTGAAATGTTTATTGAAGTTTCAGGGCATACTACGATATTTTTTCTTAGTCGAAAATTGAGATTTTTTATTAGCGATTTTTTTATTGAAAAAATCACTATGCCACTGGATTCAGAGTGCCTCTAAATAGGTGTGACCAAAATTTCATGAAAAAATATTCATTATTAACAAAGTTATGACAACTCAAACATTCTAAAACTCACACAGCTAACAGTCACAATATATCATTTTTTTATGATTTCAACAATAAAGTACCGCCAGATGAAAAAAAAAACGAATAGCGTAAATATTTTTAATGAAAATAACGGAATTACATTCACACAATTCAACTAACGATGAAGCAAAAAATTTTAATAAACGTAACTAATAACTAATTATTGAAATGTTTCGATTCAGTATAACAATTAATTCTAACTCATATTCTAGTAGCCTCTACTAATCCACCACGTATTTCGATACATGTGTCGTAGCGCTTACGAAAGTTTCTGATTACGTTCCTTAGTTCTTGAGGGCTAATATCTGCACATACCTGTCGAATTCTTGCATAAAGTTCATTTCTATCTCTTGAGCGGTTTTTGTAAACCTTTTGTGTGAGAAGTCCCCAGAGAAAAAAGTCCAAAACTGTGAGGTCTGGAGATCTGGGTGGCCACTCTATAAACGGACTACCACGGCCTATCCATCGGTTTGGAAAATGTTCGTTAAGCCATTGCCTCACAGCTCTGGCATAATGAACTGAACACCCATCTAACTGGACAATTAAATTTGATCGTTCATTGATTGGCAGCTTGTGAAAAGCATCCCAAAACTCTGTGTTTCAAAATTCTAGAAACCTCTGCGCATTAATGTTTTCCTCAAAAAAGAAAGGACCAATAATTCATTCGTTCAATATCCCACACCAGACGTAGATTTTTTGGGAATACTGACTTTTACAGTTTATTACCCAGTTAGGATTTTCCGCTGCCCAATAGCGACAATTCTGTGATGACACTACTCCATTTGTAGTGAAAGTGGCTTCGTCGGTATATAAAATATTTTTTAGGAAATTTCTATTGTTTAAATATTCCCCTTGGGCCCATAAACAATATTCCAGGCGTCTTGCTTCGTCGCTTTCTTGAAGTGTGTGTAAAAATTTTGGCTTGAAAGGTTTAATATTCTTCGCCTTGAGACATCTCCGGATAGTTTCTCGTGGAATATTCAAATCTAAAGTGGCATTGCTTATACTGGCATTAGGATTATTTCCGAAATAATCTAAAATGATTCGATCATTCCTGTCATTCCAGTTTCGTCTTTGTACAGGATTACTTTTTAACATAATTTTTGATACTGCACCAGTTTCATTGAATATTTTATTTATTTTATTTACCGTATCGTAGCTAATACGAGGACGATCTGGATGTCTCTCATTAAATACTCTACAAACCTCTCTAGCGTCATCTCCCGAAAGACGTATACTTTCAATTTTCTCTTTTACGCTCAATCTTGCAGCCACGACACAAAATAATTCGAAGAACTGTAAGGTGAATATTGTTGACAATAATACACTTAAATCTTTCACAAGTGTCAAACTGTAATATCATTTCCATGGCAACTAAGATTTAAATTGAAATATTAGGTCTTAGTTTTAGTTTTCTGATTGATTCGGCCGTTACTTGATGAAGATCCATAGTAATTTCACAAACTACACTTAAACGATTTGATCTCCACTAACTTTATTGAAAATAATCATAACATGTTTCGCTAAAACATTAGCTTTTTCAAATGATTAATTAATCATTTGAAAAAGCTAATGTTTTAGCGAAACATGTTATGATTATTTTCAATAAAGTTAGTGGAGATCAAATCGTTTAAGTGTAGTTTGTGAATAAAAATATCGTAGTATGCCCTGAAACTTTAATAAACATTTCAAATTTTGTCCCAAGGTAGACCTTTTAGTACTTGACATTTGAAAAAAAATTATTAAAATCAATTTACAACTTCAAATTGATTTTAATAATAAAAATGGGTCACACTGTATTTACTGGGTTACTATCTCAGATGAAAATAAATTGGTATGAACTGTTGTTTATTAGACATTATGATAATGAAGTGAGTTGAATAATATAATCCTCACCTTTTTCTTTTCAACGACAGTTCCGGATTCTATCCACTTTCTTTCTTCGATTGAAATTCTTTTGTCTGTTTTCGGAGTATTGGAGCCGAATAAAAACCATAAAATACTCCAAGCCATCCCCAAAGATCCGTAAAAGTAAAACGCCACTGGCCAACCACCATCAGAAGCAGAAATCATCCCAGTAATTGGCATTGCCAAGCAGTTACCTAGCACTTGACCTAAAAACAGTTTAAATGATTTATAATTATATGATCGTTAGCAGATACTGGGTAAAAAAGTCATTAAAATACAGACGTGAGAGGGTCACAAGTTACTTGATGAAATCATTGAATTCTGAGTTCAATCTCGGTATTTAACAAAATTTCCGTTAATGGTAGCAATTCTGTACTTATACAAAGACCCTCACTTTCATATGCTTTGTTAGTCGCATATTTTTACCGTTTGTATTTTTACCGTTTGTATTTTTACCGTTTGTATTGTAATACATTGTATTCCATATAAATGGCAGCACAAGATCTAATGATTAGAAGCTCATTTCTGATCGAGTATTAGCATTGTCTAAGGCTTTAGACAATGGTAGTAGTCTGTCAGTCATTAGAAACGATTGCGTTGTTATTGTCGTTGTATTATCGTGATATTATAAGAAAAGTGTATTTTACAGTCCCGACATCCTGATCAGTTATTAAATTCAACATCATTCCATAATTTCAACTTCTAAGATGAAATTTACCGAAATTTTCAAATGAAGTCGATATTTACCAGGAATTAGCAGGATACATCACTGAAACCACAAGAAAATTTCTACACAAGAATGTGTTGATCTTGCTCAGAAGATTTTTTCTGGTACAAATAGAAACAAAAACCTTTTATTGTAACTTTTTCTATATTTTTCGTTCAATGAAGAAGTAGAAAACCATTGAGCTTTTTTTCAAAAAAGGGTTCCTTTATGTTTTATTCCTATATGTTTTACCACTTTAATTTGTAACTAACGTTACTGTAGTTTCGTTCTATAAGAACATTTTCAAACTTATGCATTATTCAATGTATGAGTTTGAAAATGTCCAACTATCATAGATTGTTTCAACTCTGACATAAAACCTGTCCTGAAATACCTTCGACAATAATTTAATAAACAAAATATAGCAGTCTTTTGGGAATTGCTATGAAAAATGTAATTTTTCAAATATAAATTACATGAAACTGAATTCATTTCACACATATCTGCATGCATTGTCAAAGGACTGAGTAATCACTGATACCTATAGAGCAGGGGTCTCCAAACTACGGCCCGCGGGCCAAATACGGCCCGCCAGTGTCATCAATCCGGCCCGCGACAGTCAATGATTTACTGTCATCAATCTGGCCCGCGACAGCCAATGATTACCTAATTGTTGTCACTATTGCTGTGATAAGTTGAAGAAAACACAGAATGAGTTCGCGTTTCAAAGCTTCAAATTTTTCCTTCCGCAAACTTCCTGTATACTTGGAGTAACTTTGAAGATGTTTTGATTCATATTGTCGTTTAATGTTATAGTCTTTGAGAACAGCTATGGTTTCATTACAAATTAAACATAGCGCCTTATTACTGGACTCAATTAAAAAATACTGAAAGTTCCATTTTTCTTGGAACGTTCTGCATTCACTGTCGATTTTTCGCTTCTTTTCCATACTAACAAATCACACATAAAAACAATAAGTCAAATCAAAATACTTTTATTGACAGGTGTTACTTTATTTCACAATAGACAGTTTCGCTTCCTTCGCCTTTCCTACGCAGACTAACTCGCAGTTGCGCCGCTAGCCTTTTTATATGCAATTATTACTGCCATCTCGAGGTGATCGGAATCCACTAGCTAGAACCAGAACTTTCTCGAACCAACGAGGTAATTCCAAATATTCAATTACGCCTAATGCCACCTAGCGGGTAGCTGAAAAAGATAGTACATAGTACCACCACTCGCCACTAGATGTCGTTAAGTGTCACATACACAATAATAATTGAAATGCAAAAAAAGCGTAAGTTTGCTTAGGTCACGCACTTTGCGACTATCCTAGCCTAGAAATATAGTTAAGGGCAGAAATTGGCCCTTGGAACAAACTGAAAAAATCATTATGGCCCGAAGGCTTCAAAGTTTGGAGACCCCTGCTATAGAGCAATATCAATGAATTTTCACGTAACATAAAATTAAGGTCCTTTGAAAATGTACTTGACAGAGATGACGTTATTGCCATATTGCCAGTTTCTGCCATAGAGTTTCTAGTCATTCAAGTTTTACCTGCATACACGAAACTTCCCCATTTAGCTCGCTCAGATTTATGTGCCCATTTACTCAGTAAAAAATGAACCGAAGGAAAAAGAACTCCATGCAGTGCTCCTTCGATTGCTCTCAAAGCGATGATTCCCTTGAAACCAAACACCTCTGCAAAGCACGGAATCAATAGTATACATAGAGCTGACAGAGCAATAGCGATTGTTAAGAAATATTTTGGTCCGTAGTTTTTTGCGAACTGTCCAGCTATTATTTGGAACCATATATGCCCCCAAGAGAAAGATGAAAGTATGACATTCTGACTGCTTTTCCATCCTGGGTAGGTCTGAAAATGATGAAAAATTGGCAGTCAGATTTCGAGTTATTGATGGGCCAAATAATAATGTTTACTTTATTTCTTGAATGACAAGTACATTGTTGCAGTGTTGAACATTTTGCTCCTCAATCTTTAGTGAGTCTGTTTTCGAAATCAATAGTGTTATTCAATAATATCATTTGAAATTGGAAATTTTTTGAGCTAGGGATACACTTATCCATATTGTTCAAGCAAGATGTTACATATTTTTTATGGAAATCAGTTTTGTTTGAGTTTTTTCCATGAAAATTCTTGATATTGTTACATTTTACCCGTGAGTTCGACAATAATTGACCACATTGTAAAATTTAACTCAACTTTTTTTCACTACAACTCTGCAAATATAACACGAATACTGTAAATGAACTTCTGACTGATACTCAAATGTATTTTATTTCTAGACACCGTAGCTTCCTCGTAAGCTGAGTTGAGATTATAATTTTTGAAGTTAGTAGTAGATAAAGAGCAAATTCATGAACAAATAATGAACATATTTTGGAAAGCATTCTCTGATAAGTTAGGACTTACCGGGTATTTTTTTGTGGGATCAATTGGATCTGTCATTGCAACAATACCGACAATCAGAACCGTCCTCATACCATAAACTATTACAGCTCCACTAAACATAAGGATATACTGAAGATGGCGAATTCCAGGTTTACCTGGAAGGATGAAAAATACAGAAAAGTTAAAAATTTATGTGCTGAAAATATATCTCAAACAGTAACTGTTTTCAAGTCATTGAAACTCAATATTTATCCTGATATTAGAAACACTCACATCTCTAGTCCTGTAGTTTTGCTGAAATCATCTATAACTCCCTAGACAATGGTATGCACGTGGCAGGAATATTTTTTGACCTCTCACATGCATTTGACTGTCTATCTTATGACTTTATTGAAACCAAACTTTTTAATCTAGGATATAGGGGTGTATTTTTGCAATGGCTCAAACATTTTCTTTCAGACCGTACAATGTTGGTAAAAATAAAAGATACACTATCTGATCCTCAACCAGTCAGTTCAGGAGTTCCTCAAGGCTCTATCCTGGGACCGCTTATTCGTTAATGATCTACCCAAATACTTCAACATCAACAACAATAGTCTCACTCTCTTTGCTGACGATACCTCGTTAGCGGTGTCAGCATACAGCCTAGAGGAATTAAAGTCATCAACGGAAAGCTTTATAACACACTTCTTAGATTGGTGCAAGTTAAACAATCTGATTGTTAACTTGAATAAAACAAAATGTATTCATTTTAGTCCTTCCATCGATCTTGATAAATATCCTACTGTCTTTGATATTAGAGGGGTGGAATTGGTATCACGAATTTTACAAAATTTCTAGGAGTCTACGTGGATGATTGCTTAAGATGGTCTGAACACATTACAGTCACTTGTAAAAAAGTTAACCAAGCGTACTATGCTCTCTCCAGAATAAAACATTTTATGCCCTTGCATGCCTTGCTGGACGTATATTATAGCTTGGTCTACAGCCATTTAAGCTACACTGTGGTTCTTTAGGGATATGCCACCAACAAAGATAGGGTTTTTATTTCCCCAAAAAAAATTATCAGAAAATTATTTGATTTCCCATGGAAAGAATCGTGCAAACAGCACTTTATATCATATCAAATCCTGCCATTCCCTTGTATTTACATATTTAAATGCTTGCTATACATTCACGATAATTTAACAAAATGTAACACAAATTCTTACCACAGTTACTCAACCAGAAATGGAAAATTGTTAAGTGTTCCTAGACACAGATCCTCTAAATTTGAACAGTCACCCAAATATATGGGAATAAAATTATTCAATCACCTACCTGATCACTTTAAAACCATGAGTTTGATGCCATTCAAAAGAGAAGTTAAAAATTTGCTCCTGTCTAAGGCTTATTACAGTGTCACTGAATTCCTTTTAGACGACTTTAGCTGATTGCGGTCCAGACTTTCATTCAGATTTTATTATTTTATTATACACCCAATTTTGACTAATATTGTTTTATTTTCTTTATATTTTATACATTTTTATACTTTAGAACTATTGAGATATTTTATCTTTATGTATGTTTATTTTCTTTATACTATTTTAACGTGTTGTACTGACATGTCCTATACGTTGTTAATGTCTCAAAGGATAAATTATTATTATTATTATTATTATTACCTGACAGTGAAAATCAAACGAATATTAGTGAGAACTGCCTTTTACTACTCGTACTCGTTTCATGACCGTTGTTATCCATGTGCACTGTTCAAAAAATATTGAAGAGATCCATGGAAGGACGATGTTCTGTGACGATTGAGAAGATAAAAATCGAATCGCGAAGAGAGCCTACTTCAAGGATTGGAAAAAACGCTTGCAGAAGTGTATTATATGTAAGGAGGGCTACTGTAAAGGGGCCAAATAGAAATTGATGAAAAAATAAATATTTTGTGAGAAAAAACTATATTCACCTTATTTTTCGACCAGACAGTGTATATCTGTGAATGACTTGTGGAGGTAACCCACAAAAATCATGCTGTATAAGCTGAGTGGAATCAGCACTTTTCCTTCTTTCTAAATTGCAAACAACCGACCCCATGAAAAAGTCAGAGACAAGGTGATGGATTATTGTACTATAATTATTGACATATCATACGGGTATTAGCCCAAAACAGCTTGCTATATAAGTACCTTCCACCGAGGATTCTTCGAATGCCTCTAAAATTGAGGGAACTCAACTACATCCTTGTTTTCAGAAAAGCCCATTCGAAATTTTTATTCTTCTTGGTCTCCCAGAATCTCTGTATAAAAAAACGAAGTGAACCTAACCTCAAACTGACAAGCAACTGAATACAGAAACATAAAAAAATGTACAATAATTAACAGAACATAAAAACTAGAAAATAACACTAACACAGAAAAGAACAATGTGAATAATTCAGGGTGTCGTTCTTCAGATAGTACAGACCCTTTCCAGCTACATCGAAAATTCTGGTAAAACTTACAACTCCATCGTGACAAAGAGTCATCATTATCACTTGAAAAATCTCATTGAAATTTGAGTATAAATCATAGCAAAAACTTCACTGACCTGGTTTTGGTGGAGCTTGAGTTCCTTCAAATTTTTGCTCCACATCATCCATGTTGATCTAGACTCACATTCACCTATTACTAACCCTGAAAAATATACATTTTTGGACCATATCGAGATTTTGGTTCCATTTAGAGATATTTATTATAATCTGTTATCATTTCAATGAGATTTGTTCCGTTTGAGTGTTAAAAAGACTATGGCTTAGATATCAATTGGAGGATTATTCGTTATCCTAAATAGCCTGAACTTCCACATATATTTGGAAAGTATCACTGGATGATAAGTGATTAGAAATTGAATATTACATCCATATAAAGTGGGTGTTTTCGTGGTCTGCTGGTTTCGAAAAGTTGTGATCACATGACCTCCTCAGTAGGTCTTTTACTGATGGCTACAATAACTTTCTGAATTTTTTATGTTTGATTGAAGTTGTTGATGTGTTTACCGATTTTTTCGCGCTTCTGTCATGTCCATTTTATTGAGATAGTTCTTAGAATGTTCAGATTTCTTTGGTGATATCATTATGATTTGCCACAGCTGGAATAGCCCGGTTTATATTACTTTACCAGATCCACCCTACTTTTGTATCGCGAAAAGATCGAAAACAGAAGATTTTATGAGCTTTCAGGTTATTTTATTACTGACAGTCATTTTATAATATATTTTGAGTTGGAAAATATATCTCAGTTTCAATAACTCCTTACCTGTTTAGCAGTTATAATGGAATGGATCCTGTCTAATCCCCAATATTGTTGCGGCTTAAGAAAATTGATGTGGAAACACAACAAAACTAGAAAATCAATTTATATTTTATTCTTGATATTTAAACAAAATAAATTAATATTAGGTGTAGGATAGAGTTGTGGAAATTTTCCTCAGTATTTCCAGTCGAACTTTATCCGGAATGTTCTCTTCAGCACTTTTTCTACTCGAAGCGTTCCATTTTTGAAGGTTAGCTGTTGCAAATAAGTCAAAAATCACGGCCCCAAAAAGAAAAACCCCTCCTGCGGTACCAAAAACGATGTTCCAAAGTTGCTTATCAGTCTGAAATAGAGATAATTGGTTGATTTATATCACCACTGAAATTTGAATTGATACAAGGTCTGATTTCAATATAATGTATGTGAACTCTGAATAAAGTATCTTTCCCAATGAGCTATTTAAGTTATTTGCTTTGGCGACATGTTTTTAGAGCAATTCATAATTTGGTTTCAATCACGATCAAAACTGAAAAAATCAATCGATTCAAGTCATCATTGAAATCATTTGATTTGAATCAGGATATTCCGACTGATTCTGAGTTAGAATAGAATAGAATAGAATAGAATATTTATTTACCAATATTTGATACAATAGTGTATATTTGGCACGTCACTTAAATATCACACACAAATAAATATCACAAATGTCACAAATAAATGTAGAGTCATGTAACAAAATGAATAAAAACTGAATCATCACATTTACACACATGAACATATTTACAAATATGATTGTATAATATAACTTATACTTGTCAATTTCACAAAAAAACAGGTGTATATGAGACAAAACAAAATATTTGTCAGGTGTATATGGGATAAAACAAAATACTTACACTACACAAAAAGTTTACACAATGAGGAAATAATTTAGATTCCTCATTCCTCCTATTTTCCCTATGACAGGTCATTTATTTCTATTTATAAACTCATCTATACTATAAAAAGCATTCAGCATCAAATATTTTTTTATTTCATTTTTAAATGAAGATAACGTCATTTCTTTCATAGGCTGAGGAACACAGTTATACAAAATAATACAGTTATAGTATAGAGAGTTTTTGAATACAGCTGTTTTATGCCCAGGTATCGACAATAATTTTTTATGTCGTGTATCGTACATGTGCCTTTCCGCAGAGGTATTGAAAGAGAGTATATTAGTTTTCGCGTACACCAGACATTTATAGATGTAAATGCTAGGTACCGTAAAATATTATTATTTATAAAAGTTTCTTTACAGCTATCTAAGCGATTTATATTGAAGATCAGTCTCAGTAATCTTTTCTGAGCAACAAAGACGCGCTGTAAATGACTCGATCGTCCCCAGGTTAATATATTCAATGAAATATGTGAATAAGCTAATGCATAGTACACACTTACAACACCCTGTTTGGCAATTGTGTCTTTAAGCTGTAAAATGGCAAAATAAGCTTTATTAAGCAGCTTGCAGACGTGGTTAATGTGTGGTTCCCATGTTAACTTGCTGTCTATAAAGGTGCCAAGGAACTTAGTTGTTTCAGATAGAGCAAAATTACAGCCAGGTGTTAATGGCCTCCTAAGGTTAAAGTTCATAAAAACCTTTTTCCCATGGTTTAAAATAAGTTTATTTCTTTGACACCACGCATACACTTCGTCAAGCGTTACCTGAGTTTTGTGGTAAAGTTCCTCCTCAGTAACACCCGACACAGTAACAGTGGTATCGTCAGCATACAAAGTGGTGGCACCATATTGAATATGATTTGGTAAATCATTAACATAAATTAAAAAGAGTAGTGGGCCTAAAATAGAGCCTTGTGGAACACCGAGAGTTACGTCATGCATGTCTGATTGGCATTCATTACATTTTACAATTAGTTTTCTATTTTCCATGTAGGAATTGATATAGCTTAGGAGACATCCTCTTATTCCGATATTATATAATTTTTTAGACAGTATGTTCCTGTCCACTGAATCGAAAGCTTTCGATAGGTCAAAAAATAGAATTAAAACATATTTGCCATCATCTAGCTCTTTATATACATTTTTGAAAAAATGTGCGGATGCTGTCTCTATTGATTTTGATGGCTTAAATCCATGTTGACAATCTGTAAAAATTTTGTTTCCTTCAATATATGCTAAAATGCGGCAGTAGAGAATTTTTTCTATAATTTTTGAAAATGCACTTAGCAAGGATATTTGTCTATAATTTTCTACTTCACTCATGCAGCCTTTTTTGAAAATAGGGATTATACAAGCTATTTTGAGAAGATCAGGAAACTCTCCGCTAAGAAATGACTGATTTATGAGGTGAAGCAGTGGGTCTATGATGTTATTGCAAATATTTTTTATGGTGTGAGTTGTGATATGATACACTACCTCTTCGTATCCACTAATTTTCCTGAAAAGATCCACTGCCAGTGGAGCAAGAATCGATGCTATAGCACCTGTACTGTTAGTGATAGCCATCAATGTTCCTGAATGGACTGGAGACAGGTCAATATGATTCAGATTGAATCCACTCAATTGACCGGCGTTGAATCCCACTGCAATTACCAGAATGACTATTGTCGCCACTTTGTTTCCAGCCTCAACAAATATTAGAGATATCAACGCTAAGGCTGGAACTGCAAAACCTGAAACAATGAGAGTCTTTGTATTTGGAAGATAGATTCATTTGGGGAGCTTTCAAAAAGCTGAAAATGTGTAGATCATGTTATCCTGATTGATGCTGAAGAGGCACTGATACACGTGTCTTATTCCGAAACATCGATGTTCGCCATTGAGTATGACAGTCTACGTGAAATTTCCTCTGGAGGAATAGAAAACCAAATGACTGAATATATTTTACGACACGTTTTCCAATCCTACCAATATTTCAACGGTTTCTCGCGATTGTTGTACACAATAAATGAAAAATGTTTCGAAAGCATCAACAGAAAGATAGTATCCATTCGAGAGAGATAATAAAGAACTTTGCCATCGTAGAAGTCCTTCAGAGATACATCAACTAATTTAGCAGAGTATCGTCTGCGTACCAATGCATGGAAATGGGATTTAAGATCATCTAGCATTAGGAAGAGAACAATGAGAATGAAAAGGGACCTAAAACCGATCCTTGATGAACCCTCTTTTAAATTTCATGGGACTAAAGTAATTGAGTAGTACTTTGTTTGGATACTCACCAATAGTGTTGAAAATTTTTCTGCTTGTGGTGACGCTGACTATATTCTTTCTGATCAACATATCAGCAATGGGGCTCATGACAAATCCCAAAAGAAACATCATCAAATAGGGCAAGGCTGATAGAGAACTGTTCTGAAAAATTATCATCTTGTGAATATTATTTCTTTCTCCCAAAGTGTGTAACATACCGTTGCAATATTTAGTCCCATGATATTTTTCAGGAAGCTTGGAATTTCCGTAAGTAGTGTCCAGAATCCCCAATTCTGGGCACAATGAGTTATTATCAAAGTGATAAATGGAACCGAAGTGAAAATCGACTTCCAAGGAGTTGGAATTTTCTGAAAATTGGAAAGTATTTGAAGAAGTCTGAAAAGTATGCACAAACAAACAGATATGCCTTATTTATGGAACATTCTCATATATCCAGGAGCGACCACTACTCCTAGTAGTATTCACTATAGAGGTTCGGCTGATATTTTGCTGTAAAATTTTCGGCTATTAGGTAATTGCTAATAACGTGTCACAATCATCACAAATATTCACTGGATTTGTTTGGACACTTAGCCACATGGTTCAGCACAGATCCTTTGAAATGCCCATAGGAATATTCTGGTTTTGGGTACAACCAAAAGTGAGCGTTTCAGGTGAGTTTTTATCGAGGATAATACCTAGATATTGCAGTTGTGCTGCAAACGGAATAATCTCACGATTCAAAGAGAGTGAAGTTGAATCATAGACAGTTCTCTTCCTCGTAAAAAGAACTGACATAGATCCACTGGGGCACCTCCGGCAGCAACTGTGAATATTGTTCAACGTTTTTTGGAGAATATTTCTAGCCATGATCCTTGCCATGACGCGTACAGAAGCCTAACCTTTGGTAACCTATAATCTAATTAACCCAAGAAAACCAGAGCCCAAACAAAACGCACTTATGATTCAACATGAGGCAGCGCTGTTTCGACCCACCTTAGATCTCATCAGTGGGGCTAGGCTGAACCATGAATGTCTCGTTTATTTTGGATATTCAAGGATTGGGTTCTCTATCGATGTCATAGACGGCGTAAGCGAAGGAAAAATGTCAATAGCGTTTTCTTGATGTTGAAGAGTCGTTGCAATTGGTTTAGGTAGTTCCTTGTCAAATTTCATCCAATATCCAGAACTATGGGGAAAGTAATATTTGAATTGACTAATACGCCGTTGATGATTTCCCAAAATCAAGCGTTATTTACTGCTCCTTGTCATATTTGGCCCCGAATTAAAGAAAAATATTGACTCCAAAATAAACAGTGCTGTTATGGAGACAAAAAGAAGTGAAAATCTGCCTGTTTACGTTTTTCATTACTCACCGAATAATCGTCTTTACTATCCAAATTGTTTTCAATAAATTCTCTTTCTTCCTTTGATATATTTTTATGTTTCGCCGGTTTATCTGCTGCAAAAATGAACCATAATGTACACCAAATCATTCCTAGACTTCCGTATAGGTAAAAAACGACAGGCCAACCTGCATTTGTGGAGCAAATTGCACCTGTTAATGGCATAGCAATAACATTACCCAAAGCCATACCTGAAATGAATACAAGGTGGTCCATTAGTGCGAGGAATTTTTAATGAAGATTATTGTATTGGTTATCATGTATATAGTGGAAACTAGCGAGCCGCCCAGACTCCACACGGGTGCAATGCTGATATTAAATAAAAATTCACGCCTCGGAAATTTGAGGGGATGGATGAACATGATGAAAAGGTAACTTTATTGTATGAATGCTCCCACTTGGAATATTTGAAAATCCTTCATGAGATCCAGATGAAAATATAATTGAATGATGAAAAATATAATATAGACACTGCTTACCATTATATACTATTCCCCCCCATTTGGCTCTTTCTGAAAGTGGGGCCCAGGAGCTCAGCAGGTTATGAGTGGACGGTAACATGAAACCTTGAGTCATTCCTTGGATAATCCTGCAAACTATCACCCCAATGTATCCAAACTGTTTTCCGAATACAGGAATGAGGATAGAGAAGAGCGATCCAATGAATATGGCGCCGCCCAAAAATAATTTCGGCCCATAATTTTTCGCTAATTGTCCTGCACCCACTTGAAGGCAAATGTAGCCCCAGAAGAATGAGGAGAGTACCGTGTTTTTATGATCCTTCCATTCTGGATACGTCTGACAATTGAAATATTACAAATATATGAGATTATAATATAGATTATTTCCCAAAAAACTTAAAACACAAGAACTATTTCGATTTTCTCCATGAGCTTTTTGATGATGTAAACTCTTCAATGTAACAGTCCAAGTGAGGTAGTAAAGATATCAAAATGACGTGATGGCTTTATATTGCATGAGCATTTGACTGTGAGAAAGCTCTCTTCAAAGTGGCCGGGCGAGCTCAGTGTTGACCAAAAACAAGAACGTCTCGGTGATTCTGAGCAGTGTTTAGCTATGTTTAAACATAACAAACCGGATTTTTTCGTTGATATGTGACAATAGATAAAACATGGATTCATCAGATGAACAGCAGGTAGGATCTAATGGAATTTTTGTCGCTATCCATAGATCTCATAGAAACCTGTTGCCATGTACTGGTCTCAACAATTTCAAGCATTCCCCAATAAGTTTGTAGCCGTTTTCTAACGTATGTTGAGAGACACTAGAGTTTTCTGGTCTGCGGAAACAAATATGTGTAATATGTTCTTTATAGTGAGATATTATAGTCCACTCAGTTTGACCAACATACTTTTTATCGCAATCCTCTCAATTTATTCCGTAGATCCCGTCATCTTGACTTATTTCGGGTTGCCTAGTGAAATTAAACGGAACTAGCAATTTTTTGAGAATTTGGACCAACTTTTTTTTCATTTTTTTTCCTATAATCGTATTGGTAATGATATGAACATGAACATATACCTACTGGATAATCCTTGACTACTGAATCCTCTGGAATCATTTCTACTATAGCCACATTCAAAATTGTCCTACTTCCATAGGCTACGACAGAACAACAGAATAAAAGGACATACTGAATATGTCGATAACCGAATCCAGACCCTGAAAAAAAAAAAGAATGGCTTGAGTGTTTATGAATTATCTCGATGTTGGGAGTTGCTCGATAAGTTACCACTTAACTCATGATTAGCCACTCGAACTAGCTTAGCAGAACATTTTTTTCTGTCATGGTGTTAACATAGTGCCAAATCAACTTGTTCATGAAGAAGGTTTTGATTTTTACTTAAAAGTTGTCCTTACGCAGATATAAGGTTCCGCCGTTCCGGAGTTTTGCCTTCTAGAAAGTTCTAGAATCGTCTAGAACATTCGAGAGTATTCGAAAGCATTCCACAATGCTCCAGAATATTTCTGAACGTTCTACAATGCGATGCCAGATCATTGATCATTCTATTCAATTGCAGATGTTGGTGCACTGAGTTTATATTTGAGTTGAGTCCTCTGATGTTAGGAAAATAGATTTTGAAGTTGCAAATTCATCTCTCTAGTCAAGTTACTGGGTGGAAATTATGGACTCACCAGTTCAAATCTTCAAATTAGACCAATAGCGTCAATTTTGCCTATTGATTAACTTATGTTTCACCAAGACGGTTGTTTATTAATATTTAGATCAAAATTTTCCACGGCATTGAGGCCGTTTGTCCTGTCCACAGCCATGTGAACTGTCAGGGTTATACCTGTAAGTTTATTTCCTGAATACATCGATTTCTAGCTTTCCACATTTTCTCCTCATTACCAAAACGTCAAGAAATGGAAGGTGTTTTTCATTTTCTAACTCATTCGTTAGGATTACGATGCAAAATATTATGGACAGACTGAAATATCTATTAAAATAAGATATAAGGAACACTTAGCACATCTAAATTATGGAAGACCAGAAAAATCAGCAGTCGCCCATCATGTTTTGCAACAAAACCATTCCATACACTTTAGCTCATTAAGATTAGTTAGACAAGTTAACAATAACAGGCATATAGATGTCTATGAGATTATAGAAATGTGTAAACATAATATTATCAATAGTACAGTAGTTAATAGTATAGGTACTATATAGCTTGGTGAAATAAAATTTTATTCATCAGATTCACCTGACTATTAGATAGTGCAACATTGCAAAATTAATTTATGACAATTAAGACGCAGGTACCTAGTAGAGGTATAAATAAGGACAACGTTGTATGTAGATTTAGATAAATCTCTCTCTTGAAGATGATCACTTGGTGATCGAAACACGTTTCGAGGTGATAAAACAACGGTTTGGTGTTGGGACAAAATTCCAGAAATATTCATCAATCTTCCCTGTTCACTGATTGGGATAGCATTCCAAAAGCATTATCTTTTTGGAAATAGCAAAATTTTACGGTGAAACATTTTTGAATTCCTCATGAATTTTCTTACCTGGTATCGGTTCTGAAACTTGAACCATAGTTTCACCACTTTTTGTATTTTCACCTTATGGTCGATCCTGAAGTTTTTTTATGAGATTATGAAGACATTTTCCTAGGCGAAAATTGAACGGCACAGAAATATTGTATCTTATGGAATAATGAAACTCCTATAAAGGAGCTATCATCAACAATTCGATCAGATATTTTTTATCAATTCAACTTGTCACATGTTATTGATACGAACCTGTAATCTTATGTAATCATTCAATTACGAAATTGTCATTCCTCACATTTTTATGAAATCGCAGATTACAATTGAGAGGTAATTATGGAAGTTTCTCGGAAAAGAAAACACTTCAAATATCGTTATTCATGGTAATATTTGCATGGCAATAACTAATAATAATAATAAATATGCTTTATTGTCCAAAGAGGTGAACATTACTTTTTGCGAAAATAAAAACATAACTAAGCACATGAAATCTCAACTAAGCTTAATTCATGAGATTGTTATCATTTTCAGCATATCAGTTTTCTGCCTAATTATTTATTTTTCAAACAGACCTGCAATTTTGTGAAAGGAATTTGTTTTCGTGAAAATTTCGCTTACAACAAACGAGATAACATTCGCCGTAAATCTACCAATTTCGAAAGGTAGATGCTCCATCTATGAACTGATTAAAAATAATAATTTCATGTACACTTCAAAAGCATGATAAACAAAACAAGGTAATTGTTAGTGGTTTTTATGTATCTCTTTACTTCAAATCAAAGTAGTTCCTTAGAAGATGCAGAAATCCGCCCCTAATCCGGCCTTCAACCGGCGTGAACATCAAGCAAGGGCAAACCTGTTATCTTGCTATTCTCGAACTGAGAGATGTGGATATCCAACCACAATCCGACCTCTAATCGACTGATTGAATAATATACTAGACCACTCCATACCACAATGTAAAAACTTCATACAAGCCTCCTAATAATTATTTTCCGCAAGCCTTGGTAAAGGCACACCAATCGATCACGATTCTCTAGTTGTCATTTGTATGAAAAAAATAACTCCCCTTCTCTGCGTGATTGGTGTTGAAAACTTTATTATTATTTTCAACGTATCGATGTACGATACGTTCACTATTAACCTTCCAAGTGCACTTTTGGACATTCAATTTGAAAAATTGAGACAGCGTTGCCTGTTTAAAGTATCATTCTTGAGCTCCGATTTCAATAAAAAAAATCGACTACTAAAAGTAGACTTATCAAATATTTTTTTTTCTGTCACACGCTATCAGGTAATTATGAATGAAGAGATACAAAAATAACGCAAAAGTAGAAAATAAATCGTATAATAACATTTTAACAAAAAATCACAAACATTGAAAGTTTCACATGGACATGGTTGTGGAAATTTTTCTCAAAATTTTCAGTCGAACTTTGTCAGGAATATTTTGTTCAGCAGTTTTTTTGTCTGAACGGTTCCACTTCTGCAGCTCTGCTGTCCCAAATATGTCGAAGATGAGAGCTCCAAACAAATAAATCACACCAGCAGTGCAGAAAACGATGTTCCAAAGTTCTTTATCGGTCTGAAAATATGATCAATATCAAAAATAATAACAGTAAATCCTTCTACAGAATAATTCGTTGAAAATAGGTACAATCATTAAATTAAATACCCATTATATGATTAAAATGAAAGTTGTATACCTAAAAAAATAACACGGGCCGCCGCTGACCATCGTAAATCAATTGTGTCGTCACAACTGCGCGCCCGTGATAGGTTTCGAGAATGATTACACCGACCTCGATAGACTTCTGGCGAATTCCCTATTCGGGTGAATTCGATTACCATATATAAACGCTTCGCACGTGCATATCGGAGTCAAGTATTTTATTGAAAATTAAATTTCAGTTAACAGGAACAAGAATTAACCAACAAAGCCTAATCGCCATGTAGGACACATCTGTAAGTATAATAGGGATTCGTGGTACTGACATATTTTCACCTCGGAACTTGCCATTTGAAATGGACAGTGTTTAATTAATTTTCAATGACTAATCGTGTGCTGTTGCACAGCCGTGGTGAATTCAAATTATGGAGCGATCCAACCTTCAGTTGTGGCATCGCAAACTGTATCTACGATCAATGGATAAACAATAATAGAGGCCGAAAACTGTGTAGGGAGTGACAGAAAGCTTATTGTGTGAGAGAGACACAAGATCGTCATGGTTCTCACCTTTACTCCGTGCTGAAAATTGGTCAAGCCGTTTCCGAGGAGTATGGCATCTAACACTGTGACACGAAAATTTTATATATCAGATATGAATAATCAATATGTAAAAACAAATAATTGACAGCGAAATAATAAAGTTTGGTTAAACGATAATTTAACTGTATTAGATTAGAAAAAATGCAAAATGAATTGCTGAGATATCTGTATTTCAAAAAATATCAATCACCACTTGAAATGTAATTTAAAATATTAAGTCTACGGTAAAGACTTGTTTTGATTATCATATTTTTGTATGAAATTTCGAACAATAGAATAAATTGTCCTGCAATTTTGGCTTTGAAATCATTTAATGTACTGCAAACCTATGTCGTGTATGGGCTCATTGAAAAGCTCGTAAAAAATAGAATCTGACCATACTCTTTATTTTTTTTACTCATGCGGTTACCACGAAATGGGAAAAAACTATTTTAAAACCAAAAAAGTTAGAAATACCTACTCAGTGCTATCTACGGGTTAATTAACGTTGCAAAAAACAAATAAGTGGTGATGATGTACATTGCTCAATAATTGCTAAGGATCACCAGTAACTACTTCCTAAAAGTTTACACATTTTAAGAACAGACTAACCGGGCCAGGCACCACAACAAATTTTATTGATTTATGTGTAAAACTGATAACGTAATATAGCATCAACATTCTGTGGATTTTATTTTTGCACTAAAAACTTACACATAAAATTAGTTCCATCCCAAGCAATTGTTGACCAGTGTACCTCAAAAAGAGAAAAATGTTGTTGCATTTATTGTACCAAAATGAACGCCCTGATAAGAACTATGTCTTGGCTCAGTTTTAAAATTGTGGCATTTCTGGGTGGAATAGAAATTGCTTGTATGTTTAGTTTAATAATTGGGTACCTTCAAAGTGTTCTTTTTTATTTTGCTAAACAAAAATGGTATTGTCAGAGAGATAGAATGCGGAGTCAAAGTGAGGTGTGTACTTTATTTAATGCTAAATATCAGGAAAATCACATTTCCCAGGCTTCTGTGAGTAATTTTTTTGAAGAACATGATACAGTGAAGGACTTGCCCAAAAGTGGCCAGACACATGTTTTAGACCAAGATCAAAAATTGGACATTGCCGTATCTCTGCAGGAAGGTCCACATTTGTCAACGGTTTCATTAGCCCAAAACAATCCTGCGTCTAAACGTACGATTGGGAGGTTTTTGAAAACAGAAAAATACCACCCATATAAGGTATGTCTTGTGCAAGAGCTCTTGGAATATGACTATGACAGGCGTTTGCAATTTTGTGAGGAAATAATGTGGCGATGTGACGAGAATAATGGGTTTCCACTGACCATACTCTTTTCGGACGAAGCTACTTTTTATTTACATGGAGTAGTTAACAGGCACAATTATCGATTCTGGAGTCAGGAAAACCCACACTGGATAGGCGAAGCTCGTACGCAGCGTCCTCAGAAAGTAAATATATGGCCAGGCATCATCAACAACAGAGTATTAGGGCCATACTTTTTTGAGGGAAACCTTACAGCTGCACGCTACTTACACTCTTTACGCTCTGAATTAGTTCCTGCTTTAGCTGTTATGTTTCCCAATGAAGCAGATCCAGATATCCCCATTGAAACACTTTGGTTCCAACAGGACGACGCTCCCCCACATTTTGGTATTAATGTCAGAGAGTAACTCGATGACATATTTGCAGGACGCTGGATTGGACGACGTGGACGTTTCGTAAATATTTTCAGTCAACACTATGAAAAATTTTTGGTTCAAAGTAAAACGCTATAATGGATAAATTTGCGTACCTCTTCATATCCACTTATTTGTTTGAATAGATCCACTGCCAGTGGAGCTAGAATTGAAGCAACCGTGGCGCTACTGTTAGTGATAGCCATCAATGTTCCTGAATGGACTGGAGACAGGTCTATATGATTCAGATTGAATCCACTGAAATGACCAGCATTGAATCCAACTGCAATTATGAGAATGGAAATCGTTCCAATTTTGTTACTTTTCTCGACACATATCAAAGATATCAACGCCACAGCTGGAACAGCAAAACCTGCGAAAAATGTGAGTATGCAAATATATTAATTGGAGGATATTTCATATTTTTTATCTATTTGTTTCTAATGTTGCAGTTTGACTGCCCTTAGATGAAAAATTACTCAGAAAATCTGATTGACTTGTTCGTCGGTAAAATTGTACCTTCTTCGTGACTTTCAAAGTGGCCTACATATATGGGAACCTGGTTCGCCAAACAGTTGATAAAATAAATTAGAGAAAGCGGTCCTCATAGAACTCTTCCAAACTATAATAGGGTCTACCACATAATAAGTCTTTTACTGATTTTCGAAATACACAGCTATCCTCTAAAATTTTAATATGATCAGGTGAATGATTGAACATCTTGAGACCATTATAATATATAGAATCTTTGACTAGAGTAGAGGATGGTATGGGAAATCTTAGGTCGTTAGATTGACGAAGGGCATAATAATTGGAGTAACCGCTAAATATCAATTTATGTTTGTTAATTAAACATACTGTTTCTAAAATGAAGATTCCAAAAACTGTTAAGATTTTATGTAATTCAAATAGGGGTTTGCAGGAGTCTCGAATTCCATACCTTAAATGTGACTCAACAAGTGAGAAATAAGCCGATTTAGCGGCAGACAAACCAAGATCCTTATATGTTATTCTCACTGCAAAACACCCAGAAGCTAGCTTTTTATTGAGAGTTGCAATGTAATCGGCGAATTTGAGTTTATTGTCAATTATTACCCCCAAAAATTCAGTACTAGGTCTGTTTTCAATTATCCTGTCCGCGTTCTGTGTCCGCGTTCTTTATTGACAGCAATCACTGTCAATAAAGCAGCGGAATGATATTAAATTGGTTCGCACTAACCATATTCGTCATTATTTTCCCTGTGTGTGGTGTTTAACGAACCAAGATTGCCACAATTTCTCACAAACTTGGTCTGGCATCGGGTTGGAAAACATTTGTTCGGTTCACGGCAGGGCGCACCAAGCTCGTCTAGGTGTAGAGGAAGGGAACCGTGGTTCGCCTTCGCCATTTTACCAGTGCTTGTGTAATCTGTCGCACTGTTCTCCCCTAAGATAATATTTGACATTGAGGTTAGACCACTTCTCTCCCACGAAGCCACTGCTTGGTCCATTGCGATATTTTCTTCTTCTTTCTTGTGAAACCCCCAGACTCATATAGTACAACAAGGGCTGCTGAACAGTTTTGCACATTTTCCTCCAATGTGTGTAGGGAGGGACGAACCAAAAACTTGGTTCAGCGGACCAGGTTCCCATGTGTGTAGGCCGCTTAAAGAACAAAACTAACCGCGTGTAAATTATTTTCTAATCTGAATCAATAAATATGCGTGATACTCACCTATTGTATTGAAAATTTTTCGGCTCGTTGTAACACTGACTATTTTTCTGTCAATTAACATGTCAGAGATGGGGTTCATTACAAAAGCCAAAAGGAACATCACAAAATAGGGCAACGCTGATAAAGAGCTGTTCTGAAAAATTATTATTGTTATTCCCGTGAACATTTTTTTTCCAATATCTGAAGCTCACCGATGCTATATCCAAACCCATGATTTTTTCCATGAAACTCGGTATTTCCGTGAGTAGAGTCCAGAATCCCCAGTTTTGTACAACGTGACTTATTAGTATACTTATGAATGGCACAGAAGTTAAAATTGATAGCCAAGGAGTTGGAATTTTCTGGAAAACATTTTAAATACATAGAAATGTCCTATTCAATTTCATACATGAAAAATGGTTCTGTTCGAACAATAATAATAAGAATAATACTATTTTATTTTCCATTTGAGAATTAAAAATTGTATTGGATTCGTCAACACAGGCTAGTAAAATAAAATAAAATTGAACACACAAATAACTTAAGACTAAACAGTTATATTAGAGGAACAAAGAAAGGAATGAGCAGATAGCATGTTAAGTAGGTAAATATTCCTTTCCAGAATAAAAACTCTTTGTACTTCAATTTGTTCTTGAAACAATAGAGAATTTCACACTAATGAATCAAAGAGAATTGGAACTTTCTATGTTTTTTGCCAATTTTACTTGTAAATAACGTTACTTCAGATTCGTCCTATGAGGACATTTTCAAACCTATACATTGAATTTTGATGTATAAATTTGAAGATGTCCTTATAGGACGAATCTACAGTAACGTTAGTTACAAATAAAAGTGGTAAAAAACATAGAAAATTCCAATTCTCTTTTCTTCATTATGATTCCCTACCACGTAGTAGGTAGGCCTACATACATCAATTTGTTTCACACTATTTTATTTCATCGAGTAATGAATTTTAAATCCGGGGACATTGCTTTAGAGCACACTCAGTATCTTAGCCTGGATTCGACTAAGCATTGACTAATCCAAATTTTCTAAATTTCAAATGGTCATTTGAATACGCTTCAAAATGGTCAACTCTATCGTGATTTAATCGATTTTCAGAATTTTCAGAATTTTTCATGCTGTCTCTGTTGGATTCCGCGTATTTATGATGCTTCTGCATTTACAACTTCGCATAGTTATTGAAAATCTATTCGAGTTTTGATAATGCAATCAAATCTACTCTTTTCTTTTCTAAAATAATCGAAACTGTTTCCTCAAATACTTTATTTCGATCAAATTTGACTTAGTTTCATTTTGTGTCGAAAGATTTTAATATTCGAAGAATTATTTTCAGCCACAATTGCAAAGCTTTTTTATTGGTACTGACATAGATCAGTAATTCAAGTTGTTTGTTTAGCATGTTTAGTTTGTTGGTGAACGCATATAAGTTACAAGTGTTTTGCAAGATCTGCGAAAAAAATGGATCAAAGAATTTGCATTAAATTTTTGGTGAAAAATGGAATTAGGTGCTCAAAAACCATTGAAAAATTGACAGTGGTATACGGTAAATGTACTTTGAGTCGTAATCATTCTTCGGCCACCATATTCACTAGATTTGGCCCTCTGCGACTTTTACTGTTTCCAAGATTGAAGAAACCCAGGAAATTACGGCAAGAAGAAATAAATATTTCAGAATAGAACTGCATTTTTTAGTTGAAAAACCGTATCTCAGACTTTCAAAATACACAAAATATGCATGAACTATAGCCTATATTTCGAGTTATACAATAGTACTCACAGAATAGTCATCGTCTTCAGAATTTAAATCGGATTCGATATATTCTTTTTCCTCTTTTGATATGTTTTTGTGTCTGGATGGATTATCTGCTCCAAAAATGAACCAAAATGCGCACCAGAGCATTCCTAGACTTCCGTACAAGTAAAAAATTACTGGCCAACCTGCTTTGGTTGAACACATTGCACCTGTTAAAGGCATAGCAATAACGCTACTCATAGCCATACCTGAAAATAAATATGTGTGTTCACAGCCATACCTGAAAATGAATATGTGTGGAAACCTGATTAACCTAACCTAACCCAACCTAACCTAACCTAACCTAACCTAACCTAACCTAACCTAACCTAACCTAACCTAACCTAACCTAACCTAACCTAACCTAACCTAACCTAACCCGACCTAACCTAACCCGACCTAACCTAACCCGACCTAACCTAACCCAACCTAACCTAACCTAACCTAACCTAACCTAACCTAACCTAACCTAACCTAACCTAACCTAACCTAACCTAACCTTACCTAACCTAACCTAACCTAACCTATGAGACATTTTTTCAATCGCAAGAACAATTTTATTTTTAGTATGAAACAAAGAGAAATGACACCAAACATCTTTCTCTTATAATAGTTGTTTGACTAAAATTATGGATCCTTCATAAATCTACTGAGTAGTTAAAAGCCAGTCTTCAAGTATACCCCCTTACTATAGATGAAATTTATTTATACTATGAATTGGGCTAATTGTATATGCGTTTGGTCAATATCTCGTCTACAGTCAGAGGGGGCGATGGCAGATATATGCTGCTTGTCTTTCGCTTCAGCTTTGTTCGAGGTATGATACTCTGAAAGGATTTGATTTTCATTTAAAGAAAATAAACGACTTCTTGTTGATATAAGACACTACCTTGCACTGACGAGGGACCAAAAGCCCCAAACCGGTCTGCAAATGTGCCCGATTCAATAATTAAAATCGATTCCAGCAGTTGCATTGCCAACAGCATATGCAAGAGTTACTTCTGTGAAGAATCCTGCACTGACACCTGTCGGATATAATCCAAAGCCCTTCGTGGTATTTGACAGGGGAGTAGTTGTTTTCTGATAGGTGTCAGTCTATAAACGTGCTGTGAAGGTAGGGCAAAACTGGCATGAACGAATTGTTCCTTTAGATAATTTGATTCTAGTACTGAACCGACTACAGAATTCTAGAAAGGACCTTTACCGATATAAGCCCGGCTTCCCGACCCAAGAGGGCAGTTCAGAAAGTGAATCGAGTAGCTAAACAAAAAATTCAAAAAATGGAAATCAATTGAGTGTCAGTTGCTAATCAGTTTGTGATTGGTGAAATATTGTTGGAAATAAATTTGTTTAAGATAGTTAATTTATTAATTTGTCACAATATTCTTGAGAATTGATAACACAATCCTTGATAATAATTAAATTGTTCAATAATTAATGAGGATGAAGGATGTGTATGTTAGTATAAGCAGAAGGACTAGTTGAGGTAACTATTTTATACAATTATGAGGAATACAGTAGAACTAAATACATTTTTAGCCTAGACCAATCAAACTCTTCACTAGTAATAAAGAGCTGAGGTTATTATCGTAAGTGTTTTGTTCACTTGTATCTAATGCTTTCTGGTATTTAGTCATTTCGTTTGATAGTGGTAATTTAATAGTGTAAGGGTTTTTTATTTGTGTTGCATTTGAAATAAGAAAGTTGTTATTGGACACTGCTATATGAAACATCCCAACATCCCAACTGAACATTCCAATTGAATTGTCTTAGTGTTTTTTCTGAACAAGCCTAATTGTTTATCATCCCATTCATTACATTCGATATATATTGTAGAAAATAATTACTACATACCATTATAAACCATTCCTCCCCATTTGGACCTTTCCGATAGAGGTGACCACGAGCTCAGGAGGTTATGGATTGAAGGTAACAAGAAACCTTGACTCAAGCCTTGGATAATTCTGCATACCATCACTCCAGTGTATCCAAATTCTTTTCCGAATATGGGAATTAGTATGGAGAAAAGCGACGCAATGAATAGGGCACTGCCCAAGAATAATTTTGGACCATAATTTTTTGCAATCTGTCCTGCACCTACTTGAAGGCAAATGTAACCCCAGAAAAATGAGGAAATTATCATATTTTTCTTTTCTGCCCATTCTGGATATGTCTGAAAATTAAGATATCACAAATTGAGGTAAATGAGATGAGTAAAATCAATGGTCTACGTGGAAAAAACAGAGGATTTGCTCGGAGGGTAAGAATGAAATTGTAAGTAATGATAATAACTATAATAATAATAGCAACTGACTGTGAATTTTTTTGAGAGCAACATCAGAATAACAAAAGTTGAAGAAAAAGGAAAAGAATGTCACTATGGAAAAGATAACTACAAGTACAGTGGAAGAAAAACAAGTAAAATAAAACAGATTTCGTATAACATGCCTACTTTGTTTTAAGCTCTATCAAGGTTCCGCTAATTGCGGTACCTTGAAATTCAATGTGCTTAGATCAGGACAGTCACTAAAATTATGAACCAGTTCATGAGACTTCAAGCATCTTCTAAACTACAAGCTCCCAAAGTTGAATCTGTTCATTATAAACTTATAATATGTTTCCTGTTATAGATATAGAGGGTGTTTCCTAGCTGCTGTACGAAACTTCAGAAGTTGATTGGTTAGATCGTTTAAAGAAGAAAAAGTCGTATGAAGATATGTCCGGAGTTTATTTGGTTTCTGAGATACAGGGCGTTGAAATAAAAAAAACGGTATTTATAAAATATTATGAATCGTTACACCGATTTTGTTGAAATTTGCTAAAATTTGCTACAGTTGTTTGAAGTAATAAGGCGGTTATTTAGCCCGAACTAGATTGAAATTATTAGGTCCAGTGGCGTCTCAGTGGACACCACATCCAACAATTTCGGGAAAGAAAAACGCCACAAACTTTTTTGAAGTTCCTTATTATTTTAGATTGAGCAACTGAAAATACAACTTTTTCATCACTTGTGTTTTCTTTATATCAAGCTTTGTTTTCAAGAAAAATCACTTCTAAAAACTATCCATGGACAACATAAAATAAAAAAGTAAATAATAAACAATTTTGACCTTGAAGTAAATGAGCGAAACTTCCACGTCGTGTTTTTTTGGCACAGTGATGTTTTTTCAAGTGAAAATGGCAGTTCATATGTGACAGAAACTTCCTACAATTTTTCTTCCTTGGTATACGTGATGAAGAATATAATTATTTTTCGAGTATCACCTGTTATTTACATAGACATTTCTTTACTTTCTGATTCTTATCTTCGTAATGTGATAAGATATGAAATTAACTCGCCGACAGTTCCTTTACTGTATTTTAAATATTTATCTCACTGTTAATGACCTATTTGAAATCACAATATTGCACAATAATTAAACTACATAAAACTAGCCCGTACGGCATTCTTATTTTTCTATCTATATACCGGATATTGGCAATTGAATCGAAACAAGTATTCTTTGTGAGAAAAAAAAAGCTTCCACTTTTTCATGCAGAAAATTGTGGGAGATTGAACAAAAAAGGGATTTTTCTATTCAATGTTCATCTGAAAGTATTTGTTTCGATTAGCGTTATTTCGAATATGATCCTTGTTTCTGAAAGCTATATTGATGACCGCTCAATACTGAGATAGCAAAGCGACTAGTCTATAGAAATTTGGAAGATTTGCCCCATGCAGACAAGGGTTGGAAACTCAATTATGTGAAATCCTTGCAATGCGGATGTAACCTACTAAATGACCAAATGGTCTACTCGCCTGTTTTCAGATTAGCGTAACCACATTGTCACAGGTAAACAAAATTCAGGTAATGAACTCATTAAGGAACGTCTCATTAAGGGTGTACATTGTTAACTATTTCAGTTTATTGTATGAAAACATAGGAAGCCTCAATTCTGAATTTTTATACGTATTAACATCCATCCATCCATGAATTTGTCATTCGTTTATTTCACAAAACTCTATCACAGCATCAGTCTGTCGTATATATTCTACTTACTGGATAGTCCTTGCCTTCTGAATCTTCCGAAACCATTTCAACTATTGCCACATTCAGGATTGTTCTCATTCCATAAGCTATAGTGGCTGCCCAGAACAATAAGACGTACTGTACATGACGATAGCCGTATCCTGATCCTAGAAAAATTATTGAACACTTGGAATGTTCACGAACCTCTTAATTGATACATTATGGAGTATATTTCAACCAATGAAGGGTATAACTCCAGTATGAACTCTTATTATACATTTTTTCATTCTTCACCATTAGATCTTGTTCAAACAAATCGCGATTAATAACGGTTATAAGGTAGATATTGTAAGCTCCATTCTTTCCAAAAAACGACAAAAGCAAGCCATGGATCTGGTCTACCCATATTCAAGATGCGATAACGTTAGTTATAAGACATTGACATATGTGGGGGAACCAAACAGGAATATTGCCCGTTTTTTGAAGAAAGAAGGCGTAAACGTAGCTTATAGAACGAATAATAACCTAAGTAAATTTATTTAAAACAATAAGGACAAAACTTTGGTGTCGGATAGATCAGGAGTATATAAGCTGACTTGTGGCTCTTGCCCAAAACTGTATATTGGCCAAACAGGAAGAACATTTTTCCAACGAATTAAAGAACATAGGAGTAGTTTTGTAAATAGAAAGACCAATTCCACATTTGCAAACCATCTTTTAGCAGAAGGACATGAGTTCAATCATGAGTACGAGGTGTTACATTTAGAAGAGAAGAGTTTGAAACTTAATCTTCTAGAATGTTTAGAAATCAATAGATTCAGGAATTCGGGTAATTTACTGAATGATCAATTAGAACTCAATAACTCTCCGTTACTGAATATATTTTTTCAAATGTGAAAATGGAACATAAGTGCAGGTAATTTAATTCGTTAGAAACTCAGGTAAAATATCAGCTACTTAAAATTCAGGTACTTCGTTTACAGGTACTTTGATTTCAGGTACTGCATAAACTATATATATATTTAGTATTGAATGTGTAGAATTAGTTGAAAGACACGCCAGATGAAGCCATTGTATGGCGAAACACGTGTTGCGTTTTTGTAAAATAATTTAGTGAAAATCTCACAATAAAGTGTTTTTGGAATACGTTAGATCTTGTTCATTATTTTTGGATAGCTAATTCCGTACGTTTTTTGACTTCTGAGGTTTGTGGTTCGTAAAAAGGCGACAGTAGATTAAAGGAAAATCATATTTTCAATAAAATAAATGTTATGTGTTGTTCATTGCATTCTCTATTCATACCCAAGGTGACATGGATCAATGTCAATGCTGACTTGCTGAATCGACATCCGGCGATACGCAATTCTTTCAACCTCGATACAAAGACTCTTTATTTCAATAAATTGATGGATGTAGCCGTTACTACGTGGTAGGAAATCATAATGAAACTGTAACGTTACTGCAGTTTCGTCCTATACGGACATTTTCAAACTTATACAATAAACTAACAATGATTCATTACATTCGCTATTACATACCGCCCCTACAGGTACTAATAGAAATAGAGGGACGATCGATTTTCACTTGCTATAGTCCAACCGTGTTAGGAATCACACGTTAAAAGGTAAGACCTTGTTAATCCTTAGCTCGCACAAGTTTCGAATTTTGAGGGTTGTCGTTCGTAGGGGTGTGATAGCTGGTTAACGGAAAAACAAATTTCAAACAAATTTTTAAACAAAAACACTATTACACTTCGGACAATTAGGCTTATACACTCCAGATTTTTCCAACTTGTCGACCTTATCTTTGGCAATTAAAAGGAAATGAGATAACCTGGCATGTGGTCTGAATGCTACTTCCACGTTGTTTTCTCTGAAGAAACCTGCAATTATATCTGTTCTTTTTCCAAAATATGTCAGCGTTACCCATTTCTTGATTTCTGGTGAAATTCTGCACTATGCAAGGGAGGATTGCAAACTCAATTATTTAGAATCCTTGGAAATTCACAAGCATAAATATTGCGGGTGCAACCTGTTAAATGATCAAATCGATTTCATTTACTCTCCGGTTTTTAAATTGGCACATCCGCATTGTGAAATGTAAATTCAGGTACTCAATCAAGTCAAGTACCTCTATTTCTATTAGTACCTGTAGGGGCGGTATATAATAGCGAATGTAATGAATCATTGTTAGTTTATTGTATAAGTTTGAAAAGTGGTGAAAAACATAGAAATTTTCATTTCTTTTTTCATCACAGTTCATCACTTATTTTGTTATAAATACGGTTATGTGTTGCTACGAATATAAAAATTCATATGTAACGTATATAGATAAAGGAATTGATTTGAAATTCTGAAGTGCAATGTTGCGAAATCTAATAAATATTACTATTTATAATTACGCTTTCGCTACTCAATTTTTAGAGAGGAAAGTTTGGGATAGCTGTTTTGAAGCGGTTTTTGTAAAATCTTTAATTATGAAATCTCAAAGTGAAGCAAAGGTATTTATAAATTTGAGGACACCATTTTCAGATAAAAGGTAACAGATCTCCTAAACATGAAAACAATTTCTCTCACCTGCTTTTTTTTCTGAAACAAAAACCATGGTTTCAATACTATTCTTTTTATATTTAACTAATTTGAATGGTTGACATTAAAATTTTGGCGAAGGAGCTATAAGTTCATTTTTTATAGGAGATTCTTGAACGGAACGGAGAGTAGTTCAAAGAATAGTAACAGATCTACTGAAAAATCTCTACCATTGTTTATCCGAACGGATACTTTTTATCAATTTCAATTATCACGTGTGATCGATATGAACTTATTATTATATATATAATCTCCCCATATTAAAACTGATTCGATAATGAAAAAATCAAGTTTCTTCGTTTATTTTACAATTTATTTTTTTAAATCGCGCTCACCGTTGAAGATAAGGATTGAGAAAATCGTCGAGGACAGTACCGGACTAGTTACTCAGCGTCAAAATAATTTTTGCTATCATAAGGGTATACATTCTCAAAGTGTCATCTGGGGGAACAAACATTTTTATATTTTTCAATACTCCTCCATTCTTCAATGTGGAATAAAAAATTTCCCCTTCACCTTTTTTCGTATGATTCAGTTCCTTCTGAAAGCTTTTTTAACAAATATATGGTCATTATTTCAATAATCCTTCTCTTTGATGATAACAAATATATTCTGAAATTCAAGACACTGAGATTTTAAATGACAGTTGAGAATAAAAGAATTGAGTAACTGATATAATCCATATCAAATTAAAATTTTAAACATGGCTAATTTTCGTTATACCCATGTTTCAATTGGAATGGTTACAGCATGTTTTTCGAAAATTTATTTTTTCAAATGAGGTATGAATAATTATTTATGGAAAACTATTTTTCAATGAGACAGTCCTTATATTTCTGTGTATTTCCAAAAATGAAGCACACTTGATGTTTTGCTAGAGTCATCTTTGAAATACAGAGCTTTAATCAAATAGGCTTTGGACGATGCGGCGATAAAACAGAATACAAATCTTTACTGGTAACTGTCAAAATTTGATTTAAGCAGCAAATACGTTCTTCCATTAGTAATTTTTGTTCAATTTCTAAACATATATGCAATGAAGTATGAAAATTATGGAAAATGACATATAATAGTCTGTATTCAGAGAGAAGACAAATTTTTAGATACATGTTGGCAAGATTCAGACATAACCTAATTGATGGTGGTCAATTTAAAAAGAAAAGGCCAAAATTATATGAATCAAAAGGGATAAGGATAGCTATTTAGAAGCTACTGAAAATAATCCGAACAGGTCTATCAAACACTCACATTAGGATAATTTTTAAAAATCACAAATTCAAGTTATACAGGACTATACAAAAGATTTCGAACGCCGCATGGAAAACAGGAATTTCCCTTTAAAAGTTCCCAATTTGGACCACTCTGTACATAAGTATCCGAAGAATTCTACGATTTATCAGACTGAACGCATTATCTGTAATTGATTGAATATAAATTGCTAATTATGATTATACTAAATAAATAAGAAATATCAATTATATGAAAAAAGAAAAAACCTTTTGTCCTTCTATCTCTTCATCATTATACAGGGTGTAACTAAATAAGTGTAAAACGTTTAAGGAGGTGACTCCTCATCAAAAAAAAGATAGGATATTTTATATGAAGAAATTTCATTGGAGCATCTCTTATTAAGATACAGCCCCTTGAAGGGGGTACATAAAATTTGTATAACAAATTTTTTCACAAGCACTAAAAAAGTTACAATATTGAAATTAACCTGATGTTTTGTACTACCAAAAATACACTTAGCCTGTTTGATTCTAAACAAAATAAACCAGTTCGCAGCAAAAAATGTTTTAGGAACAACTACAGAGATACATCGTCATAAATGAGAAAATACGAAACTAATCTATCTAGTAGTGACAATTAAATTGGTATGAAGCGTCAGTTTTTGAATTTTCGAAATTGAATTAATACTAATTGTGTGTTGTTGTTCTGTTCTTAATTTGTTACTTTGATAATTCACTTGTTATCAAAATGGCATACACAAATGAGGAAATGGCTGATATGCATTACGTTTACGATCTGTCGCAGGGGAATGGGTTAGAAACTTCTAGAAGATATGCTGAAATGTATCCTCAACGGCAGCATCCTTCACATAGAATATTTGCTCGACTTCATCAACGATTACGGGAATATGGTTCATTCGACAAAAGAACGCAGGATTTTGGTCGCCATCGAGAAGTACGAACACCACAGCTTGGGAAAGCAGTACTTAATTTGACTGAAGAACAACCTACTACCAGTACTAAAAAGATTGCTTTCTAGCTAAATGTTGATCATATGACGGTATTTTGAATTTTAAAGGAACAACTCTCATACCCTTACCATCTGCAACGAATACAGGCACTGTCACCGCGACATTTTCCGAACCGTCTTGAATTTTGCAATTGGATGCTGGAAATGATTAGAAGAAATTGTGACTTTCTGAAGAAGATAAAATTCACAGACGAATGTAGTTTTTCTCGGGACAAGATTATTAATTTTCATAATTACCACATATGGGCTGATGAAAACCCTCACGCTATTGTCGAAACTGACCATCCAGAACAGTTTTCTCTTAACGTGTGGCTCGGAGTTATTGGGGATTATTTAATTGGGCCTCATTTTCTACCTCCTCGATTAAATGGTGAGGCATACGTTCAATTTTTAAGAGAAGTGCATCCAGTACTGCTGGAGGAAGTTCCTTTGGGCGTCAGAAGGAATATGTTTTTATGTATGATGGGGCTCCCGCCCATTTAAGTCAAGTAGCACGTCAGCATGTAACTGAAACATATGCAAATCAGTGGATAGGTCGAGGAGGACCACAGAACTGGCCCGCTCGATCCCCGGATCTCAATCCTTTCGATTTCTATATTTGGGTCCGTTTACAAGCCGTTTATCGTACTCCTGTTCGCTATGTAGAGGACTTAAGAAACGGCATCATCGATGCATGCAGGGTAATCCGAGAGACTCCAGGAATATTTGAGCGAATACGTGGCTCAATGCGCCGACGTCTAGACGCATGCGTAATGTCTGAAGGTAGACATATTGAACATTTACTCTGATTTCTACATGTTGTGTGTTTTGTTATTAATAAATTAGTTTTGTTTATTACCCTTTAATCGTTTAATGCAGGTACTAACTACAAAATAACAATAAATCCAATTCGCAATTCTGTAGTTGTTCGTAAAATAATTTTTTGCTGCGAACTGGTTTATTTTGGGCAAAAAAACCCAAGAGACATTTTTTGTTTAGAATGAAACAGGCTATCGGAAATAAATTTTTAAATGATAAACAAATAAGACAAAAAGTTACATTGGAAATAAAGTTTTGGAGTTGCGTTTTCCACCCCTTACAACCATGGGGTAAACCAAATAAATTACTGGCTAGGTGTTTTTTGTTAGTACAAAAGTCATGTTAATTTCAATATTGTAAGTTTTTCAGTGCTTGTGAAAAAAATTGTTACACACATTTTATGTACCCCCTTTAAGGGGCTGTATCTTAACAAGGGATGCTCGAATAAAGTTTCTTTATATGAAAGATCCTATCTTTTTTTCGATGAGAAATCACCTTCTTAAATGTTTTACACTTATTCAGTTACACCCTGTATAGTGGTGGAAAACTTACAATCGGAGGAAGAAAATAATTGAATACATGAATGAAAATTTTTCACAAAAATTTTGCATAGAAAAGCTCCTTCCAATTACAATTTGAGTGAAAAAGTCTATCTGAAACAACTACATTCAAATATATGAACACTGACTTACATTGCAAAAATTCATTTTGTACTTCAAATATCTGTAATGGAATCGAGATAGCTATCGAATGAATATTTTATAAGAAAAGTCGTCGTATTCAGAGTATGTGGGTCTCTTCTGGTGACATAAGTCGATGAGTTTCTGCAAAAATTGTAGGAATTATTTTCATAAAAGATGCTGATGAGTTGATGACAATTGTTTTCACCCGAAACTTCGAAGCACACCTAGGAGAAATAAGTGAATAGTGAAGAACGATTTTATTTAAATATGATAAATATTTCTAGAGTAATTGTTTAGTGAAACAACTCATAAATGAAAATCATTTAATTTCAAACTACATTGTACAATACACATTATGGTGCAAATTCAAAATCCAACTTCGATTGTATATCTAGAAGTGTAAAAATATTGAAAGGTGTTTAAAAATTGCAGCGTCCAACGTCAAAAATATTTAAAAATATCAGAATATTCAAAACTGTGCAAAACACTAACGAATCTTATTACAAGTATCACCACGTCAGTAATATTTGGGTAAAAATGATAAGCAATTTGATACAAACTCAGAAATTAGTTGGGATGTAACAAACATTTTCTACTAGAATGATTTTTATCATATATCTTCTCATAATCTTCATTCAAAGCATAAAAGGTTTTAAAAAAAGATCTTGCTTCATTCTGTCGAAGAGATCATTGCAAATTTTCACTCAACAACTTGTTGATATCAACATTGAAAAACCTTCAGTTTTTATGTTTTCAGTTGTAATGTTTGTGGATGTAAAATATACTTTTAAGCAAAATCTTTGTATCATCAAAATGACTCAAAAAAATATTGATCAATCCAACAGCATACAGTAATTCTTCGTTCTGTAAATTGATTTGGTGATATTTTTTCTGGGCAATAATATGAATAATCGGAAAAAACGACCTTCCCTCAAATGGGAAGGGGGATGAGTGGCAGATCATTTTGAAAGGCTATTGATTCTCTTTTCGAAAAATCATGTCTGAAAATTGAAGAAGTAATAAGAGCTTGCCTGAGCTGAGATTATTATTTTTCATTTTATACTCGAAAAGGAAAAATGAAATTCAAGTGTATTTCCGATTTGTCATACCATTTTATTGAAAAATATATCAGGGATGGATATTGACGTCTTGTATTGAAATTGTATATTAACATATAAGATAATTTTATAATGTCAACTTTCATGTTTGTTTTTTGTTTCATTCCATGTTTAACGAATGCAACAAATACATTATCATCGACTACTATTTGTAAGATAGATGATCATTGGGTCCTGTACTATTGTTTGATAGCTAGAAGATAAGTAATAATAATTCAGGCGAAACTCTGTTCAAAGCAAATCCCAAACGAGATAGAATGAAGACAGTGTCACCATTAAAGTGCGCACCATATGGGAAACTTTTTTTTCGAAAAGTTTCAATGAAGTTTAACTTCGGCACTTGTTTGTGCTTTAAATTTAATTTAAAATGATGCGG